ATATTTACATGTTATTAATGGGTATCAACCAATGACATTAACATATATTGCCTAGATATCTACAAGTATTGACATATATTACCTACATAATTAACAAATAGGTATTGCATAGTATTGACACTATTGCCATAGAATTTACCTGGTATTGACATATTAATATTAACCAGCGAGTTAAACAGTGATTTGTACACCGATTAACAAGGTGAAAAACCCCTCATTTTCCCCTAAATTACAATCTTTTTTCACTTGCAAAATTCCAAAACAATTCCTTAACATTTTCCTAAAAAAAAAAAATTGAGATTAAACATCCATTAGATAAATCTGCTACTTACTTCACTTATATCTCTCAGAAAGTTCTTGTTTATTCTGAGTTGTTTTTCTTCTCTAAATAAAAAAAAATAGAATTCCAGAAAAACAATCCTAAATCTGGAATCGAAAAATCACAAGGGGTCAACCACTATCATTACAAATGTACATGTTTTCATTTTCATAACATTGTCATACTTTAGGTTTGTTCTCTTACAAATCACAAACCAGTCGGCCGAATTTCATTGGTTGGAAAAAGTCAGAAAACTGGTTGTTGGCGATTTGCACCAATCAAAAATACTCTGGTTTCTGATTTCTGTGAGAACAGACCTACTGTTCATCTCGTTCTTCAAGTTCTGAGCTCTTCATAGTCCCGGGTTCAGTTATTGGAAAACTCATTGGGATATCAAATTCATTTTAAATTGTCTAGGACTCAATGTTGCCTAAAACTTAGTCTTAAAGGCAAATACACAATCGACTGGTACCCTGTATGGTTTAAAATGTATGATATGCGATTTCTGGGTTAGAATGAGCTGGGCCGAGATTCTAAAATAACGATTCGACACACGACTCGATAACGATACCGGCCTTGTCGTCTCGAAAGGTACAATTCCAATGAGATTTCTAACCTAGAATCGTCGGAAAAATCGTCTCGTCGAGTTGTATGTCGAATCGTGATTTTAGAATCCCCGGCCTGATATTCCCAGCGATTACCACATGATTCTCAGCATTTTCCAATGGATTCCTATGTGATTCTCATGGAGTCCTAGAAAATTCTCTGGCTCCAGGGACTCCCAAGTGATTTCCATGTATTCTTGATTGATTACTATGTGATTCCCAAAAAAATGCACAATGATTTCCACTAGTGGTTTACCCCTCGAAAAATCATGAATTTGGAATAGAAAAAAAAAAATCAAATCCCTTGAACAAACAAAAATCAAGACAAAAAAAAATTAGAAGAAAGAATATTGCACTAGAACTAGAAGACATCTAATCAGAAAAAAAATATGACATATCATTATCAGTCTAAGGAAAAACGAAACAGTTTCTGATGTAGGTTTTAGTGGAAATCTTACGAGAAATCTTATGATTATTTTGACAATCAATGATTTCCAAAATTGCTTTGAAAATCTCTTGAAAAATCCTTTTTCCCCGAATGACAGTAAAAGTAGCCTTTTAATGACACTTGACAGGATCAAAAGTTGTATTTTTATTGCCTAGACAGTAAAAGTGGACTTTTACTGCCTAGGCATTAAAACTGGCAGTGTCACAACGTTCCAGGTAATAATTTCACTCAATTTGGAGCCACGGCTATGAAACACCAGCCGCGGCATTAAATCTTCTACTTTTCTGCCTAGTTAAACAAATAACTATTTGTCGCTTTGGAATTAGAAAAAAATTGCAGCAGGAGTCGGAAGAAATTTAATGTTTGCAAAATAATGGGAGGAATTTTTATATTTTGCACCATACAGACCGAGATACAGAGCCTTATAAAAAAGCATATCACAGAAACTTGGAAAATACATTTGTTAATATTATTTACCCCCGTATTAACCTAATAAATATTTTCCAAAAATAAGAAAAGACTTGAAGGTCTTTGATGTTGTTATAAGTAGGTCATTTTAATAGTTATGTTGATCTCGTTTTCATCAAAATTTTCCAATGTCCATCAAATCGATTGGTCCCTAAAATAACATACTTCCAAATTTGACATTACATTCCCGAAATAGACTATCCGCCTCATGTTGAGTAATTTATTTATAATACTGTAACCTAACCTAATGTGTTGCAGTAAAGCCACAAACAAACTATTTATAGCTTCTGTGTGGCCGAAGACTTAATTTATTTACAGATTGCACTTGATTATTGTATTTATACTTTCTGAGTAAATAAACTTATCATTTATTATTATAATTAGCAAAGTTGCGAATATTGTACCCATTCCTAATTATTTTTTCTTCAATATATCATAATATTGTGTAAAAAAAGTCCAAACAGAATTTGATGCGCCACAGTGTTTAAAACTTTTTCAATTTCACAAAAATGCCAATTATCTATGCTAGTTATCTTGTATCTTCAGTACTAAACTTCTTCCTGTATACATGTTGATTTGCATTGACTAAATTTTGTTTCTAGAAAAGCCCACTATATGTATATACATATATTTGATTCTGTACGAAGGCGTAGAAGGGACATTTATTAAATTTTTATTTGCTGGTAGTGATGCGCAATTAATTCCGTGTTAACTAACTCGGAATTATTCCCCTCCTATTTAATTCTGTGTTAACTAACTCGGAATTAATCCCCTCCTATTTAATTCCGTATTAACTAACTCTGAATCAATTTCCTCTTAGTTAATTTCGTGTTAAGTAACAGGGAATTAATCTGCTCCTATTTAATTTCATGTTACGTAACTGGGAATTGATCCCCTCTCATTTAATTCCGTCTTATTTAATTCCGAGTTAATTAACACGGAATTAAATAAGAGCAGATTAATTCCCAGTTACTTAACACGAAATTAACTAAGAGGAAATTGATTCCGAGTTAGTTAATACGGAATTAAATAGGAGGGGATTAATTCCGAGTTAGTTAACACGGAATTAATTATGCATCTCTACCAGCAAATAAAAATTTAATAAATGTCCCTTCTACGCCTTCGTAGATTCTTTACTGGTCAATACAATATTTAGTCTGTTGCATGGGATTATCTAATTAAAATTGGGTGCCAAACCCAACAAAGCAATTTATCCTCCTATTTCATTATATTGATTTGAGCATTATTAAATATTTAAGATTTCATAATAAAATAAAATAACGATAAACTTGAACATCATTGTACTTGCTAGTTTTATGTGATGTAACCTGAACTGAAATAAAGCCTGATGAATTCCTCGTTTCAAGTTTTAATCATGGTAATGAGAGAGAATTGCAAAATGTCTTTATTCGTGTATTTCTCTCATTTTGTGAGTCGACCCTTTTGTGTTTTGCCCTTTAATCAAGAAAGTCTTTTTGTGCTTTTACCCTTTCCCAGGAAACTTTACGAAAGGGTTTTTTTTTTAAAAATTTGTTCCATCTTGTTTCTGGAATATTATAATGATTCTGAAATGGTAATTATGTTGGCTTGCGGAATTAAATGTTTGTCAATGCCATACAAAAGTTTCTTTTAGTAGATTGAGAAACCCTGCAAAGTTACAATACAAAATACAATTGGTTTCAGTGATTTGGATTCCAAATTATAGGTTGTATAGAATAATACATATTGTAGTATCATTGTATGTAGTATCAAAGCAATGACAGGGTTTTCAGTTTTGGGAAAAGTTCATCAGCCTTTATTTACATTAGGGCAGATCTTTTTAAGTTAGTAAGATGCTTCAATTCTGGGCTGAACCATTTGGGAAATTAGGACGTTTTTGATTTTTTTAGTGGCACAGAGCAAAGTGGCTATTGCTTCTTCCAATATCCCATAGAAAATTTTATTGATATATTTAAATCTGATGCAGAAAACAGCGTTTCCCACTGCATTGATGCAAGAAGATTGTTTGAGCCTTTGAAGTCAGCATTCCTAAAATCATAATAATAATCTACCACAACTAAGTTGTCATTGGACTTATTTTGAAGGTGATAAATACACTCATATGATGTGTGATGATTACTGGCATCAAATATAATGTCATTTGCCCTTCTGACAACTGTCTGGTACATCTGAAAACACTAAATCTAAAAATACTGTACTGTGTATTGTGTTTATTTGATACAGTTCAAGAAAACCAAAGTATTTTGCACCTGTAAGTGCATTTGAACTCAATGTACATTCAACCCATCATCATGGGTCTGTAGTTTGGTCTCCTTTATACAACTGTTATGACAAAGAAGCAGTTTGTAACACATTTTCCTATGTTTTGAAAGCAGATTCCACAGAAATATATGATTATCAGAAAATTACGGTTAATTGGAACCTGATTCTAGAATCAACACTTTTCTACATCGAATGATCAATTAACCGATTTGATTGTACTCATACTTCAACATACTTCCACAGGTTAAGGCTTATTTGCTACCTGATAAAATTATTTCATCATCTTGTTAAAGGATTAATAAACAAAACCAAAAAGGTGAAAATTACCTCAAGGACTAGGTCATTACAATATAAAATGAACAATGACATGCTTTTATGCATACAATAAGATAAAGAATCTTGGTAACGCTTGGGTCACATATTGAAAACCAAACTGCCACAGATAAAATGATAAAACTTAAACTTTCCCCTCACATTATTTAGAGGTGTTTTATTAGAAGCCCAAACAATATGGGACTGAGCTTTGTGGGAATTCATAATCAGTCCGAGACTGAGCTCATAACTCCTCTCTATTGTCTTCCTTACAAATAAAGACAATTCATCACTTTGTGTCAAAGACATAGTGATAAGTATGTATGGTTGTTTAAATGTTTTATAGTGTTATTATTTTGTTTTGTCTAAAAATGAATCTCTTAATTTTGTCTAAGAATGCAATGGACACTTTGTTGGAAAATATCCACTCCCTAGCCCTTCACTTCCTCCACAACCGTCGTAAATCCACCCCGCGGTGCCGCCCTCGCGCCATTCGCCCCCTCACGGCTGCCGCCGCAGTAGGCGATTTTCCGGGTCCGATTGTCCTCGATCAATGACGCGCGCACGCGTGTTGCTATCCTGACCAGCGAAATTTTAGAGGGTTTCCTCCTCAAAGTACGTCGTGTATTCCATGTACGAAGGAGCCCCCTCGTTCAACGATCACCGCCATCACCATTGCAAACCCGCAGCGGCAACGCGAAGCGGGGCGCCCGATGCGCCCCCCTTTTTTACCTACAACTGGCGCAGCCCTAGATTTGATATACGGTAGGTTATTAGTTCATTTTTCTGTGACCTATACTTTACAAGGATGATCTGTTATCTTTGATATAGATTTCATAATGTTTCCTAGATGATTAAGCTGATTTAGTATATGTTTTTGGTATACGCTGGCAATATTTATTTTTGAAATTCTAAGTATCTTTGACCTACAATACACCTACAGTAATGGCGTTTCCTATATTATAATCGAATTACATTTTGTACAGATATACATAATCTTAATTTGCGAAGGAGTAATGTCATAAGAATTCTAGAGCGTTATAAGGAAATTTTGAAGAAATGTTCCAGTCATACCTAATTTTGATGGCTAAACTTGCTACCTTGGTTTGTTTTTGTTGTTTATATAGGTATAGAAGTATTTTACTCTTATTCATGGCTTTTTTTTCATCTTACATTTTTGTTATGTATTTCTAATACGAAAGTTTCCATTAAAGTTAACAATACTTGTCATTTCCTAGTTGGTGAGTTATAAGTTGGGGATAGTAAAAGAGACTAGAGAGTTTCATTATTATGGTATCTATCTACCTATTTATTCTATTTTCTCTTTGGTAATCTGCTTCAATATATTATTTTCATTATAATTTAATATGTATCCTTGACAAGAATGAAGAAACTCTGTTAAGTTTTCCTATTTATTTTTAGGATAGTTTTGTCCTACCTATCAACCAAGAATAAAAATTTTGCTCACAGGGGAGATCTTTACTAGAGATTAGATTACTATAGGGGTGCTACTGTATATTTAAATAGCTGATTTTTCCTTTAGAATTGATTATTTAGGGTACAGGTAGATACAAACAAACTTTCAAGTAGAACTACAAAAAATGCACGCTTCATTATTTCGCTCTAGTAAATAGTAAAAATATTTGAAAATCTAATTTAGGGTGGGTATTATAAAACTATTTTGACAGAATAACTTAAAGTTAACTTCTGGAATGACGTTACTTCTCATAGTAAGTTATCTGTTAAAATAGTTTTATAATACCGCCCCTTATGTATTCACCAAATTACATTTAACTCATTTAAATCATAACAGTGAAAAACTACCTGTAACTCTTTCTTGATCAAACTTACCAATATCCTATTCACAATCCGTAGTCCAAAGGTAAAGGTAAATTTATAACCTTTCTCTATCAAATAGCACTGAAAGGTGATAACTTTTACCTTCACCTTTGGACATTGGATTGTGAATAGATAATACCTAAAAAGACCACTTATTAGTTCGAAAAATATTTTTACTGAATTTTGTGTCCAGAAATCTACAAGATCCTCTAGACTTTACTTAAATACTCTAAATACATATTCAATTTTCTTTGTTTTCACCAAGGTTTTATATTTTTCTCGTGATTTTCCTATTTTAATCTCTGTGAATAATGAATTAATAAGAATCCCAGTAGGTATCCACCATGCCTATTAAAATTGCCACCACGAATGCCACTGCCAAAAAGTATTGTCATAATTTTTTTCTAAAAGTGTTTTTGTCGTGCAAAATTAATGTTTTCACCAAACAAACTATCGAAAAAGCGCCGCTATTATGCAAACAAAGAGTTATTGCTACGCCATCTTCCGTTTTATTCCACGAAATGTCGCGAATGATCTAAACTAGTCCGCAATCTGATGCATGGATAGAAATAACTGCAAAAAAAATCTCAAAATTCTGGCATTAAAAAATTACCCGTTGTTGGTATGCATATTACTTGGTCATTATTGAGTAATGTTGAGAAAGGAAAAATACCCTATTTTTTTTAGGTAAGTTTTCATGTTTGAATCCTTCATGTGTTATAATTTTATCGCTATTCTTTGAAGTCATTTTCATAGATTGTAATCATGGTTTTTATGTAAAATTTTCTTCCACACTGATGGTTGTACCTTTATGAAAGTATTTTTATTATTTTCCGAATAAAATATGTATGCAACAAATAGATTTGTTCTAAGATCATATCAATCTTAGCTCCAAATTAACAATTTATTAATTTCTATAAGGTGTCCTCCAATATTCAGATCATAGTGTTTCTATGCTCTTTTTTTTCTTTGTGATCCCTTTTTTTGTTTAGACAAAAACATGCGTGCTTACCTTAGTTACTGACAGTTTAATGTCAATCATTGTCATTTTGTCCAGAGTTGAGGCATAAAATAGCATGAAAGCCTTTCTATTTGTTCCCTTAAAAGCTCTTCAAAGTTTTTATTATACTTCAGTGAATGATTTCCCAAAATGTAAGTACAAACACAAACAGTGATTATTCTTTTTTTTGATAATGACATTTTTAACTTGCTTCAAAGTTACGAGCGTTTAGGTGTAAGTAGTAAGTAGTAAACATGCTTTATTGTCAAAGATTACATTGATCCTTATTGACAAAGCTAAGTCTTAAATATATCGCAATAAAAAAATCCATTAAGTGGACACAAAAATCAAATATAAAGATTAAATATAAAAAAATATAAAACACACGCACACATCAGTCCAACATCCAACATTCAATCCAAAAATCCTACGTTATCTAAAAAATACAACTAGCTTCAATTAAATTAGAAAAAAATGAATGAAGGTACTCACTTAACAAATCAGAAATACAGATAATATATTAATTATAAAAATTGTTAGCAGTCAAATTTCATCCATTTATCTTAGTCACAAATCTATATCTAATTAATATCACATTGGTCATAAGGTTTAAAATTTTAAAGATAAAGTGGTACAAGTATTCCTTTCTGATCATAGAATTAAATTTTTGTACAATATACAAGCTCGCTATTGAGATTGAGATATCCGTCATTTCATAGGAAATATGGTCTAGGAACTACATGATTGATTATTAATATACGGAAATTATTATTATTATTATTATTATAGGTTTGACCTCGGAGTTGCAAATCTGGAGAATAATGGTAGTTCAAGATTTTGTACATCTGAATCAAGTCCCCTCTCTCGTCTAGCTTTTAGGGTTGTTATATCGTATCTTAGTAGTCTTTCTTCATATGAGAGATTTCTGATTTCAAGGGGGAGTTTTGTCACTCTACGCCGCACTCTTTCCAAGATCTCAATGTCCTTAACCAGGTATGGGATCCAAACCAAATGTGCGAACTGCAATTTAGGTCTGATATGATGTTTCATATATTTTCCTAATCATGAGGATGGATCTGTCACTAAAAGCTTTCTGTATGAGGTATACAAAAGAGTTTGTCCTATTGACAAGTGAAGAAATATGGGCTTCCCATTTTAGGTGATTTGAGATAATGCCACCCAGATCTTTCTGCTCAGTGACAGCCTTCACAGTAGTGTCATTTAAGCTGTAAGTTATGTTTGGATTGTTAGTGCCAATGTGCAGTATAGTGCACTTGTCGGGGTTGCGTGTTAGCTGTCATTCGCTGATCTATTTCTCTAGTGTTTTCAGGTCGTTTAAAAGGTTGTGATGCTCCAAGCATGTATTGCAGTATATTTGCATAAAAAATGATGTTTGTCTTTATAAGAGAATGAAGATCGCTGATGTATATGGTAAACAGTAGTGGCATCAATAAAATACAGCGTTAACACTGTTTTCTCTCAGTGTAAGACTTTCCAGACAATCTCAGGGAAGTTAAAGTCTCCCCAGATAACAGCGTCTATGTTTTCCTCGAATTTTTCTTTGAGAGTGTCCAAGAGCCTCCTGTTATGTTTTAATGTGATATGATGAGCCTGTATATACAGACCAGAGTAAACATTGTATCTGAATTGAGTAAATGAGATTAATGTAACTTGATTTTTCCTACTCCTTATTAGTATTTAATAAGTATTTGCAAATCTTGTGAGTACTTCATTACACTGTTATGTTGTTTTGATAAAAATAAAAAGTGGAATAATTTTATAATTTATATTATGTTCACCAAAATAATAAATAATGACCAAATAAACAAGTTTATCTTGACTCTCAAAAATCTCTAGAGCATTGCAAACATTTATCTTATCAAAAAAATATAAATTTCTTGTTGTTATGTTTGAAATCACCCAGACATTATTTGGCACATTTAGACAGTTATCTTTCCCAACTGAAACAATATGAGAAGAAAAAAATGCCGGTGCACATTTTCATTTCCTGTTTGTTATCGTTGCAGAGACATTATTAACCAAAAATATAGTTGGGAGTTCGGGGCCTGAGCCAGCGAGGTGTATGACTTCGCAGCGTCGAAAGCTCGCCTCTTATAGGTAAGAATCCTTGTAAGGCAGTATATTTTTTTTGGGTAATTAATTGTTTATATTTTTTTTTTGCAGGACTACAAAATTTTCTTCCAATAGGCACCGGAAACTTCAGCCTTTTAGAGAAACGTGACTTGTCAACCCTGCCGAAAACAACATTTATCATCAACCATCACGTTTTGTTCTGTCCACAATTAGCCGACCTCTGACCACCACCATCATTATTTTTTAATTTTTGTAGGTAAGTAGAACAACATTTAAAAATTTTTGAAATTCACTGTGTCGTGTCCATCCACCTGAAAACTTGGACACTTCATTATTGTTAGTTCTGTGCCGTCTTCAGGCCTTGAATAATAATAAATAAATAAATAATATAATAATTACAGCTTCTTGTACTATGACTATTTCAAGAAATCTGTTTGGAAACATGCTGAGAGTTTTCACAAATACATCTAGATGATTATATTATACTTTTCATTACAAGAGCTTGAAGATTTGTCAGATTGTCTCCTTAATATACAGTAAATCTTACAAATTATTATACAGACCGGAACAACCTACCAGACATATAGGGAGTAATAAGACGAATTAGCCTGTACCTGGTTTAAGCGAATCGAGGCAGTGCTGCTAAAGCCAAGTATAACCCAGCACAAATTTTAATAACTTACAGGGACGATTGCAGTGAAATGGTTATCAGTCAACTATTCCTATGTGTCTAGTAGCCTGGTCCTGTCTGTATACAAATACATAAAGGATTTATTGAAACGCACACTCTAAGAAATATCAATACAGTTAAAGTTTTGTACTTTTCATTGGTTTGTAGCTGGCTGGAGTCTTAACACATCTGTCTTCTCACCTTATATAAATAGATATGAATGGAATGATTCAGAAAAAGTTCAGAAAAAATTCTTATGCTACATCACTTGCAAACTTAACATTAATAGCATAGCATAGCATAGCATAGCATAGCATTTATTTGTTCCATAATTGTAAATATAAAGAAAATTATCACAAAAGCCCTTTCGGACATAGAACGTGTCAATTTAAAAATACCCTAATCTAACATTACAAGCCAAATATAAATTGAATTGACTGTTTTGAGTTTAAAATCATAAATAAGTTAAGTCACGAGCACATTAAAAAAAAAAAAAAAACAACATTTATACAATACTACACATTAAAATATAAAATATAAGAATATAAAAATACAATATAAAATAAAATACAACATGAAAATACACTATAAAATACAATACTGAGCATCAGAATACATATATTGGTTTGAACCTCATTTCAATTTTCGTTGTTCAAATTGTCCTCATACAATTCCTCCACCGAGTAGTAAGCCCTCTGAAGTAAGTGGTTTTTCAACTTATGTTTAAGGTTATCGAATTGCAAGCTTTGCCAATTTGAAGGTAGCTTGTTGAAAATTTTTATAATTATAGTAACTTGTATAGATTGCTGATTATTTAAAGGTTGGAAGTTAGACATGGTAACTCTAATATTGTGACAACATACAAGATTGTTAACAGTGTGATACAGTTTACTGAGTACCTAGTTGTGTCAACTTGTGCTCAGAGGATCAAGTCTCTTTTACCTGAAACATACTCAAATAATGCTGGCATGGACATGTAAATAGTTGTCTTCTCTGTGAACAGGTGCCTTAGGCTTTTTGTTGCTTAATATGTTTTGTTCCTGTAGTTCTTTCTCTCGTTAAATTCTTGTAACTTGAATAACTTTATGCGGTTCATTCAATAATTATTATGAATATGCACGGTATATCTGATCCGAGAGTAATAAGGTAACTTCCATAAATCATACTAATCTGGCTCTGAAGATGATAAGGGTCTGCTGTTTTGATTATTATGACTAGTCCAAATAAGTTATAACTTATTTATAAATTATTGATTTGTTCCAGGCTTCCCCCTTACAAATTGCTGTTCCTCCTTTTAATTTTTAACGCATCGGATATCTATCACGTCTCAAGATGAGCGTGAACGTAAACCGTGGCGTTAGCGACGTCTTTTATCGCTACAAGATGCCAAGGCTTATGGCCAAGGTAATTATACATATTTGAAGTTTTGAGTTACTTGAAGAAGTCTTTAGCGTATGGTGAAATAAATTTTTGTTGAAAATTTTGACACTTTTTGTTGTTTTACGAATACAGGTTGAAGGCAAAGGCAACGGTATCAAAACAGTTATAGTCAACATGGTCGAAGTAGCAAAGGCCATCGGCAGACCACCAACATACCCCACCAAGTATTTTGGTTGCGAATTGGGAGCTCAAACACTGTTTGATTTCAAGGTATGTATTTGAAAGTTGGTAATGTGAAATTTAATGATAATTTTTTTATTCTTGTTCCTTCCTTTAATGGAGGTTGGTTATTATAAGCCAATAGGAACAGGATACCTGTACTTAAGGTATCACGTTCGGCTGTCTATTTTCAAAATGAATAAACATTGGACCTTTATTTTTTGCGAAACTTATGCCTTGTATTAATAAAGAAATAATATCAAAATTCTTAACAATATTATTTGTTTTCATTTAGAACGAGCGTTTTATTGTGAACGGCTCCCACGAAGCCGTGAAGCTTCAAGATCTGCTGGACGGCTTTATCCGTAAATTTGTTCTATGCCCCGAATGCGAAAATCCTGAAACCGAACTGCTGGTCAGTACAAAGAAAAATACGGTTTCTCAAGGTTGCAAAGCTTGCGGTTATCACGGTCTCCTCATCAGCAACCACAAACTGATGACGTTCATCCTGAAGAACCCGCCGAATCTGAATCCGGCCAGTCAAGGTTCCTCGCTCACCGAAGGAAAACGCAACAAGCGTAGCAAGAAGACCAACGGCGATGGCCAAGATAACGCCGACGAATCCAGCATTGATAATTCGGTCACTGAAACTTCATTGGATAACGGTGGAGCTGGCGAAGACAACGATGATAAGGGTTGGACTGTTGATGTATCTGAAGAAGCTGTCAGGGCCCGTATGCAGGATCTGACTGATGGAGCCAAATGCATGACAATCAGCGACGACTTGGAAAAAACTGAAAAGGAACGCATGGACATTTTTTACGTGCAAGTCAAAAAAAAATTGGATGCTGCATTGCTAGAAAAGCCCGAGGAACAGAAAGACCTACTGGGAGAAGCTGAACGATTGGAAATCAAAACCAAAGCTCCATTGGTCCTAATGGAATTACTTTTCGATCAAAACGCTTTGCAACAAGCTAAAAAATACCGTTTACTTTTGCTGAGATTCACACTCAACGACAAAAAGGCCCAACGCTATCTCATCGGCGGTCTGGAACAAGTCGTGGCGTTGCACAAAGATCTGCTGATGCCCAGAGTGCCCGCTTTGCTAAAACTACTCTACGATCTTGATGTGCTGCAAGAGGCCGCTATTCTAGAATGGGCGGAGAAGGTGTCCAAGAAGTACGTTTCCAAGGAAGTTAGTCAGGAGATTCACGATAAGGCGTCACCGTTTATTAAGTGGCTGAAGGAGGCTGATGAAGAGTCGTCTGATTCTGAAGAAGAGTCTGATGATGATGTAAGTTTTTTTTTTTATTACAATAACATAAAATTCCCTTGCTCTTTATAAAAAAGTGTCTGTACACTCTTGCGATTGTGGAAATTCAGCTTTAAGTTGTTGGATTGTCTCATTACCAAGAAACTTAGCTGAGACTGTACGTACCTTTTAAATCCGAAACAGCATGTGTTTATGCTGTAGATTGACATCAATAAGTTTGGTTTTGTATTAGAATTTTATTTTGAACAGCATGGATTGACTCTATATAACTCGGACTTCCCTAGCGCCTGCTTATTAGGAAGCGTGTTTGTTTGGGGGTGAGAGAGGTCCAATTCTGAGTGGGTTTGCTGACTTTCTTGTTGGGAGAACTCAGGCAGTTAGGTATGGCGGTGTCTGTTCATATCCAATGTGGGTAGTTCCATTGCACACACAGACACAACCCATTTTTATCATTTGCAGTGGCAAGCATTCTAATTGAGGTGGGGAATTCGACTCCAAGATGTCATATTAGGTACCAATACTGTGTCAAGGGCTGTTAGATGTTTGGGTTTCATATGAATGTAGTTCACTGCTGATACGTCTATGAGTACATTGCGAATATTGTACTGTGCGATGGTGCCATCCATGTTGGAATACCCATCGGTTGTTTGGTCACCCCAATATGTTGTTCACATTGCAGCTATGGAAAGAGTTGAGAAAGGATTTCTAAGGGTGGCTGCTTCCATATTGGGTTTGGCTCATAATGACTATACTTATGATGGGTTTAGGGCTTTCTTGATTCTTTATACCTTGCAAAGCACGAGACTTCAGGCGGATCTCTCTTTCCTTTACAAACTTTTAAGAGAGTTTATCAAATGCCCAGATCTTTTGGGTCTCGTTTCTTTGGGTTTAGGAGAAAGGAGGGTGAGAGGTTCCGATCTGTTCATTTCCTTGGTGTTTTTGGTCTCACTGAACCCAAAGACATGGTTGTCATCAGGCAGTGTCAGTTGAGGTGTCAGTAAATGTTCTTAGGTTATGCCCCACTTCTCTTCCCCCTGTCGTCTCTATCAAGTTACCACTAGCCAGACTATACTTGTGTTGTTAATTTTATTAAATATGTATGTACATACGTATGTTTTTCTTTTTAGGTGGAAATTGAGTACAACGATCGTGCTCAAGTAACGCCGCTGAAACCGGCGCCTGTAGCGGCTAAACCGAAAACGTCCCAACAGGAGGATGAGGGCGGGGACGACGTCGACATCGACGCCATCTAAACGGCAGGGTCCGGAACATTTCCTAACCGTTGCCCCCAACTTCATTATGGGTGTTTTTTTCTTTCTTATTTTTTACATTACTTTTACTATGCATAAGAAAGGTGTTTATTCTATTCACATGATATAGATAGGTTAATATTGTTTCTCCTTGGGGTCCCTTGGAATCTTAATTGGGAGAACAATTTTATTATTGTTTTAATGTCAAATAAATGAAAAAGTAAATTTGTTCGTTTTTTTTTTTACCCAAATAATCAGTCGTAAGGTTCGGTTTATTCATCTTTAGATAAACTTTTCACCCTTCTATCGGGTCTTGAAAAAAAAAAAAAACAATCGAAGATTGCTTTGATTACGAAAACGTATGTCGCATTATTGTTTATTGGTCAGGATTTTTGACATGACATTTTTTTAACATTAAAGTTCATTGACAAAATTAAAGACAAATATTGCTAAGACATACGTTTGAAAAACCATAGCAATATTTGATTGTTTTTTTTTTTTTGAAGGCCCGATATAATTCTATTGGACAACGGATAACTGGCTGAACAATTCGAATACGGTTTTATCTGTCAGATTGCATACCTGACAGTTTATCAGAAGGTGAATAAACCGGCCCTAAGACAAATTCAAATTATGTTCGGATTCCTAATTAGGGAATCCAAACTAGGCTTTATCAATACATGGGGCGAGTACTAAAATCTGACACATGTACCAACCCATATTCTAACCCATTGAGTTCTAACCTCATAAAAATGGCAAAAGTTTGGATTCCCTAATTAGGCAATCCGCCTAGTACTCATAACAGCGAAATTCACTCTTTATTGACATTGCTTCGACAATTTGACGTTTTATGCGTGAATCAAACGTCAAATTGTCGAAGCAATGTCAAAAAAAAAGCGAATTTCGCGGTTATGAGTACTAGGCTTTATCAATCTGACAATTTTCTGACATCGTTGACATGTAACAACCCGTATTCTAACCTCATAAAAATTTCAAAATGCCAGCTGGTTGGCAAAAGTCACGTGGTTTGGATTCCCTAATTAGGGTTTGGATCTTTTTCTATAACAGAAAACTGCTATTTCGCTCAAAGTCGCTTGGATCTTCAATCAATACATGCCGCTAGGATGCCGGTAGGCGCTTGAGACTTTTTACACATTAAAAATAAATGCCAAACTGTCTTATGGTTCCATAATCCAGATTTTTGCAATTTGGCGCTTGGTTCCTTTTCAATTATCATCATCCAATTATTCATGGCTGGTGTGCACTCGGTGTAACGCCCAAGGTGATTTCGAACGCACTCCTGAATTAGGGAATCCAAACCACGTGACATTTGCCAGAATATGTGGAGGTTGCATATGGCCGACTAGTGTTTCCTAGTTTCCTACAATGACTCTATTACCCACAGTGGCGACAATAGGGTACTTGCATGGAAAATTAAATTGATTATTGTTTATTGCAAACTGTAGGAAATCGCAAAAAAATCGTTACTTTTTTTTTATTTCGCTCAAATATGATTATTCCGGAAGTTATTCAAATATTAATTTTTGTATATATAGATATACTGAGCATGTGCAACGTCACTTATTTATTAGATAAGTGACGTCATAGACAGATTTCATAGTGTTGTATAAAAAAATATCTCCGTCAATTTTTGACTAAGAAGCAAAAGAAAAAACACGTGTTGACTTATTTTTCATGGACTATCGAAATCCGCAATAAAAAAATTTGATGCAAGGAGCCTATTGCTGTCTCATTTTTAATTGGTTCTAAAATCCCATATATTTATATTGAAAACGCCGCCATCTTGTTCCCAACCTCTTGTTACTTTTAAATATGAATATATGGGATTTAGGTGAACATCCATCATGGAAAACACGTATTTGATGGACCTAATAATGGTCATCAAATACGTCCAATTTCAATTTTTTATGATAGATGTTCATTTAAATCCTATATATTAATATTTAAAAGTAACAAGAGGTTGGGAACAAGATGGCGGCGGGACCTCTATTGTCGCCACTGTATGTAAAGGTTTATTTAGCCACTGTAGTGTTTCCGGTTTGGCAGTGGCGTATATCTATTTAGATATGATTGTCAATATTATAACTCACTCTTTTCGCACTAATCCCAATGCTTATTATCACTTAAAACCGCTAATATCCATTAAACATCCACTTGAATGAGGACAGAGCGAACCACCAAAACAAATGATGAGTCATACTTGGAGGCTCAATATGGCCGTTTCCGTCTCTGCGTTGTCTGTAGTGACAGATAGAAAACGCTCCTTGTTGTTTTATATTGGTTGTTACAAGTCAACGATGTGAGAAAAGTGTCATATTTGAGTACTCGCCCCGTGTATTGATAAAGCCTAGTACTCATAACCGCGAAATTCGCTCTTTTTTGACATTGCTTCGACAATTTGACGTTTGATTCACGCATAAAACGTCAAATTGTCGAAGCAATGTCAAAAAAGAGCGAATTTCGCTGTTGTGTGTATTAGGCTTAATCCTGTCAGAGCGAATTTCATTGGTTGAAAACAGTCAGAAACAGTCAGAAAACTAGTTTCAACTGACACCAGCCATGAATAATTTATAGCTGGTGTGCACTCGGTGTGACGCCCAGGGTGATTTCAAACGCACCCCTGGGGTTTGGCAGGATTTTGACAGATGTCAAAATGATTGACATTCCTCAATTTACCTTGAGGCGATTTCGGCAAGCTTTGGTACATGGTTTGGTACCCTGTTTGGTCTGTCAAATGCATACCAACCAATTTCGGATACGAAAATGATGTCGTCACCGTGACTTTGGTATCCTTTTTGGTCTGTCAAATAGGATACCGTGGTCAGCAGCACGGTTCTTCTCATTTGGTATAGTGCTATCTACGTCTATTTTCGTTTTGTCCTGCTCTGGGAAATGTAAATAAATGAAAGTTCATTAGAATTTGAATAATTTGAAATTTTTAGCAAATATATTTGTTTTTCGCCTTCATTTTCCATGTTTTGACTGCCAAATAATGTTTAACGATCATTTAAAAAATGGCTTTGAACGACAGATATGGGGTCACTTTTTTGGTGAATGGATTATGGAATAAGCTTTACATTTACAGAAAACGCTGAGTTAGCCAATAGGTTACTACTCAAAGGTACTGTCTAGACAGTGTGTGCTGATTAGTGATTATAGATTTTACTGATTTTAGTCAGTGCAGTCAGTACCTAGTCACTCCCAAAACTAGAAGAACAACAAAAAGTTAGGTTAAGGCTCGTCTCTTCCCCTCTCTCATGACCTACCAAACGAATTCGGAATAAAATGGTGTCTTACGTCATTTCTATGACGTTGCAGGTACCAATTGATTAACCAAATGGTATACCAATCAAAGCTTGCCGAAATCGCCTTTGGTCTTATGGGTCTTTGGTATGGTCTTGGTGGACTTATGGCGGCCATGGCGGGTATTATAAAACGTGATAAAACTACGACAGTTAACTTAAAGTTAATTCCTTCCTCCTCATGTAATTCCAGAAGTTAATTATGAGTTAACTGTCAGAGATTAAATTTCAATATTTGACAGCTGATACCGCTTTACCCTTCACCTGTCATATATACAAGGTTGCGACCATGGTAAAAAATGTTGCTTAGCTTACGCCATCCCCAATAACATATTTAATTTTTATCCAAATATAGCGGTCGGCTACAGTGGGTCAATGGGATTACAATACAGATTGCGTTTTTATCCGTCAGATTGCATACCTGACAAGACAATCTTTCAGAAGGTGAATAAACCGGCCCTTAGAGGCCTTAAGATGTAGAGAGGAATTTTTCTCTACACTTTCACAAAATATCTCTGGCAACACCGTAAAACGTCAAACTCAAAGGCCGAAATGTCATAATTGTCAAACGCAGCCAGCCATCACTACTTTCTTGCAAAAGTGATCAATGGTGTTGTGTTGTAAAAATTAGTTGTTTTACTTGTGTATTTATTTGTAAAATTCCTCAATATTTATGTAAGTTTTGTCACAATCGACGCACCCTTATAGCAATTTGCACTCGCACACAATAATAATTAGTGGTACCGCTGTTAAAAATAACGCGAAGCCCATCAAGTGGTTGTAGACTTGCTGTTCAATTAGTTTTTAATTTTGTATATTTTGTGATTTTCGCAACATGTCTGAAAATATCTTTACTGTAGGCGATTTATTATGGTCCGATAAAGCGACAAAATAATCCCACAAAGCCTGATTTTCCTTGTTATGGATGATAACAACAAGGAGTAAGTATTTAAAGTGCCATACCCCAATAGTTTTTTTGTGAAACTATTCAAATATTTGTAATTTTTATTTTTGTGCACATCGCCTGACAGATTCTGTAGATATTTTTGTAGTTTTTATTTTATGTAGAGGTTGTTATCCTTCAAGTAGTTATTTTTGGGATGCTGTCAGAGGAGGCATGTAATTGAACTAGCGAAAATCAAATAAATCATTATTATTTTTTGCTATGATTGCTCATTGCTGATTGGCAAAATGATGAATCATACACCAGAGTATGTTAAAATGTTTATGTGCCGTGGGTTCTGATTTCCTTGGTCTTGTTTTATGTGATTATGTATGATACACCTTTCATTTGGTTCTCGGTTATTAGGCAATTTTTAATTGAATGCAATTTTTGTTTTGGCTTTATCTATTTTTTCATTATAATGAACCTTGGTCTTTACCTTGACATTCAGGAGAGAACCTATTTAATATAATAATCATTAAAATAAAATCAAATCAATCAAAGTTAATACATAATAATCACCTATAATATTATAAAAACAAGATTAAATTATTATGTTCAAAAGTCAAGAAATGGCCTCTCCACTAACCACTAACCTAGTTCATTGGGTGATGATTCGGATTCCATAGCAAATTGAATTGACCTTTTTCACCAAGTCAACCAATCCAGGAATTCACTCAGGTATGCTCCCAGAAACCATAATCTGCAGTCTCTCAGAATTCCATGCCCTGTGTTTTTGACTGCTTTTTCCTGGACAATACAATAATAACATTAGTCTTTCCTTTATTTGACATTAACTGATTTGTAGTGGAATAATTATTCTTCGATTTGGCTCATTTGCACTAATGTATAAGTCATTAGTAGAGATGATAAATAGTAGTGGGCTTAGTATACTGCCCTGAGGACTTCTGGGTTTGCCCATTTTTTGTGATTATCACTTGTTGTCTTCTATTATTTAGATACAAATATAGCTATTTCAAAGTGTTTCCCCTTAAACCATATAGGTAGCTCTAATTTTTTCAAAAGCAAGTCTCCATTGAGACAATCATACATCTTTAATAATTCCTCAAAGAACTCCAAAATTGACTTGGTAAATTTAAAAATGCCTGTTAATGTGGATCTATCCTTGAGGTTACATGTATTGATAACATTTAACAATCTACTACACATTACTCTCGACATTAGTTTTGGAAATGAAGGCAACAGGCTTATTGGTCTGTGACTCTCTTAACTTTTCGGGATCTCCCTTTTTGTACAAAGGCTTTATCAGTGCTACCTTCAAATTATCTGGAAAGATGCCACACCTGTGGATTCTTCAATCAATGGCATAAAACAAGTTGCAGCGCACCTATAGCAACCTTCAAAATACTACTTGGAATTTCGTCAATGTCACGGCTATTTTCCGTTCAATTGATTTTGTATCTAAATGATCATTCGGCCCCCCAAAGTTCATACAGTAAACTATCTGAGATTTGGAGCGGGATTTTATGAAAAAAGGCACTCAGAAAAATTGAAAAATTGATAAATCACCCAAAATTGCTTAACACGATTTTATTTCTGGAACTATAAGTCCAAATGTGCTGAAATTAAGGGATTGTAGACCTCTACTGGGTTAAGAATTACTGAAAATTTCAGCTTTTTATCTCTAATAGAAAAAAAGTTATGACCTTTCAAAGTTTTCTAAAATCCAAATCATAAGGTAGCTAGCTCTACCTTCCTACTAAAACGATTAAATTTCAATATTTTTTTTATTGTTGAGATATTGTACCCTAATGGTCCTTTGGGATCCCCCAAACTCCATACACTTAATTATTCTGAGGTTTGGAGCCAGATTCTATGAAAAAAGGCACTCAGAAAAATTGAAAAATTGATAAATCACCCCAAATCGCTTAACACGATTTTATTTCTGGAACTATAAGTCCAAATGTGCTGAATCTTTCAGTAGTCCGCCACTGGGATAAGGATCACTGAAAATGTCAGCTTTCTTTCTTTAATAGAAAAAAAGTTATGACCTTCCAAAGTTTTCCAAAATCCAAATCATAAAGTACTAAAATGATGAAACTTCAAATTTTTTTTTGCTGAGATTTTGCGTTTACCTATATGATCAATTTTCCCTTTTGTTCACTTATTAATTTAATTTGCGATTTTATCTACAAGCGTTTGGTTATGACGTTTTTACATAACTATTTTTCTAGTATTTGAGTTGTGTTATGAGACTCATAACACAACTAGTGGTGTTATAGACTAGGTTATGAATTCATAACACAACTAGTGGTGTTATGGACGAGGTTATGAATCTATAACACAACGATTTTTGGTGATTTGACAAATGTCAAAGGTAAACCTGTAAAGGCAAAATGAAGGTAGACAACTACTAATAAACGAAAATAATTAAAAAAACATTCCTATTTTTCGCTTTATAGATAAAACGTTCTACATCACGCGTGCGTTTAAACATGACTACAAAACTCGTGTGATTAGAACGACTCGGTCTACGACCTCGTCGTCTTAATCTTTCACACTCGTTATTGTAATCATGTTCATAAACGCACTTGTAATGTAAATAACTATTACATCTCGCCCAAAGTTCATTATTACATAAAATGCCAAAGTATATTTCAATTAGCACTGAGTAATTGGAAAAAACGTGGCATCCATGTTAACAGTCCCTTGAATGGAAATTTCGCATTTCTAATGTGGCAACAAAGGGTATGAATATCAGCTTCAGCCAATGAGAGGGCGTTTTCACTCACGTTATTTTTTGGTAAAATTGAAATTTTTATTTATTAATTTTTTTAATAATCTGATAATCTTGCAAAATCTTCTTCATTCTCAGTGGCATTCATGTACCTATGTAAGTATGTATGTTTCAGGTGCATCAATTAAGTAAGTGGATGAAAAAACTACAATAATGATTGTCTTTTTTTCTTTGTTAAAAATGTAAATTCAGAACAAAAAGCCAATAGTCAAATAACATAGCAAATGTAGTAACATAATCTTTTTATTAGCATACCATTTCTACACGCATTGGCATAGAGAAAGCTGAAATAACTAAACCTCAACCACACAAGTAGAAATTATTACGCTACTATTAAATTACATGATATTCGACTTTGTAAATAAATAAATAATTAATAAAGCAATTAGTTGAATTGAAGTCAGTGTATTATACAGGAGAAACATTTTTTAGTTTTTTATGTGAAGTAATTCCTATAAGCTTTCTTTTGGGAAAAAGTTTATCACTCTGATAAAGAAATAAGCAAAAATATCTTTATCAAAGTTTCATTTATTCATATGTGGGTGAGTAGATTTCAACAAGATTTTTTTTCAACAAAATGAAAAACAGGTTCCTGTTATAAATTGGTCTTTTTATAGATTTCTGGGCCAGCACATATTGGTCATAGTCATGGCCATTGCTTTTATAATTTTATCACAGTGAAAATGAAAACCGGCGGGTCCCTTTTTATTACATTGGCTAGACCCTAATGGCCCTATCAAATAAAGTTGGGTTGTTGTAAAGGTCAAACAGCCAATGAAATTTTCTTTTACTTAAAGTTTTTATGTGAAAAGTTTTGTTTCAGTTTGCTGTATATTGTTAGCATGTCCTGAACTATTTAATCATCTATCATTTTATTCTTACCCAATCACAGAATGCTGAATTCTGTGACTGAACATACTAAAACTAGTACTTATAGCTCGACTTATAGAGTACAACAAGTACATACAAAAAATACTATTCAGTCCCAACAATACTAACAACAGATACTGTTTAATTTAGCCCTCAATGAACCTCAGGCACGAAGTTCAAGAGAGACAAAATCTCAATTTTTTCATTTAGGTATCCTTTATGGGCAAAAGTAAACCTGTAATTTCTTCTTCTCATATGTAGGGGTTGAAGAACCAACTCTCTTTTTATAGCAGAGCAGGGTAACCTAAGAAGGGGTACACTGTGTTTTTTTGAAAACCACATATTCAATAAACTTTCTTCCATTATAGTTTATATGGAAATTCTGGGAAGTTTTCCAAATAATTGTAAATAGGTGCAGTTGTCAAGTCGTGATCCTAAATGAGATATAAGTTTTGATTGCCAGAATATTGTTTTAGACAAAACCTAATATTCGTAATGCCAAACTATAGAAGAGGATCTCATGAGTGAACAGGAGAAGTAGGTATAATTTATTAGCGCCTACTACAGTCTATTATATTGAATAAGTATTTGAGTGAAAAATTTAACTTATCTCAAGTATAGATAATAATTTTTTCATCGATTCAATATGTAATATTTCTGGCAACGGAAAATTCGTTCAAGCCACATTTTCCTGCGGTATTAAGGGATATCTTTAATATTCTGCTCATGAAATACCAGGAACATTTTCTTCATTTTGCCAAATGAACCTCGATCTCCCGCATCACATCGATATTCCGGAAAAGGGACGCCAGAGTCCAGGATATCGCGCACCCACTCCCCCATTTCGACGTCACACGACGCCCTGCGTCTTTTTTATGTTGTCGTCGCGCATATGTGTTGGTTTTGGTCGAATTGTACTTTTTCTAGTACAAACTTCTAGATACGCTCTCTATGAAAATCTAGTGAGTCAATTTTGTACTAGTACGGGACCAGCTTTAAAAAACACCCCTATTATAGCTCCCCTTGTTATGTCAGTAGCAGTCGCGAGGTCCTGTAGCTTAGGCCACCCTTATAATTTGAAGTTCTTTAAATATTTTTTTTTTGAAAATGTAGTTACAAGTTGAGATTTTTTTCATAATGATATAAATGAATTTTGGAATTAAAATTACGTCCAAATCAAAACAACAATAAAAAAAAGAAGTCTGGTTTTTAAGAGTGAAGATAGGAGGATTATTTTTATAGAAAAAGAGCAAATACTTTTCCATTACCTTGACGTCTAATCGCTTCAGTGGTGCATTAGGAATTGATTTGTTGTGAAAAATCTAAAATCGATTTTTTCCGGTGTACGTTAATTAAATTTTTATGTGTAATCATACTCATAGTGTACAGGGTGATTCATTCATCACCCTGTTACACACATAATTTCAATATCACTAAGTAATTACCTATATTTTGTTTCTTTTTGTTTCAGATTAAAAAAATAAATAAATAATCTTTTTACACATAATAAGCTTCAAATTCGCTTCTAAGTAAAGCAAATCAAAAGAAATTAGTTAACGATCGAGTTTTCTATTTTTCTTGTGAAAATTGTGATACATAAACGCTTCTGGGATATTTAATTTACTAAAACTGTAGTATTTTGCATAAAGACTGACACACTTTAGTATACTTACCTAAGTAGAGCTCAACAAAGTTTATAGTTTTTTTGGTAATGGTAAGCAGGAGAGGATTGGAAAATGTCTAAAACCATTAACGCGTATAGGATGTAAGTTTCTTTTTAATTTTTATTATTTCTTGCCTGTATTTGTTTTTTTTTCGTCCAGCTTTGTGATGTGTAGATAATTTAGTTTGCTTGTTTAAATTTGCACAAAAATGCACTTGAGATGAGGCAATATTAAGGAGAATTTGAAAACAATCTTGCCTTTGTAGTAGAGTTCTTAGCCCCTTCATTAGTACTATCGAAACCACTTTTTCCACTGTCTTGGATCTAACATTGCCTAAAATTATCAGTACTTGGAAGTTCTATTAACACAATAAATAACAAGGTAAATAATTACAAAAATGAAAAATTATTATTGTGTTCGCTGCAGGAAATCCAAATCCAGATGTATTGTTGACATCTTTTTATATACGATACTGTCACAGATTTTCCGAGTCTACTTAAACTCTTTTTACCAATAACAACTTTAATTCACTAACAACTTATCATCGCTTTTTCATACCTTTATTATATACAGAAGCATTCAATCGAGAAATCTCTAGGGGTGTAGTCTCGGTTATAATAGTCCTGAATTTTGTACCAGGTAGGCAAAATAGTTTTCAAAATCGCACTTACTCTCCTCCAACTTTGACCTGGGAAATATTTACTCCTGCAACAGGCCTATAATTGAATTACCTCCTAGATAAATCTCCACCCATTGCTATTTAGCCTTTCATCAGTGATTAAACATGCTTTAACCTGCTATTAAACATATAGTAGTCCAATTTTAGGCTTTGGGGTGCACACAAAAAAAAAATCGAAACCTGTAACTGATTTTTCTGTTTCTTTTTTGCAGTAAAAAAATCGAAAGCTTTGGCAAGATGACCGCCATGACGCAGGAGGAGATCGTGGCGGCGGTACGCACAGTCGCCCAAGGTCTCGAAGCTTTGCGCAGCGAACACGCCGGTTTACTGCACAGCATGGCGCCGGACGCGCCCGAGGCGCAGGAACGACAAAGTTTGGTGCACCAGAGCCAGGAAATGATCGAACTGGGATTGGGAGAAGCACAGGTAACATTCGAAATGATAATAATGATCTAATATGCAATCAAAATGTGTAAATTAGGTTTCAAATTTTTGTTTTTTTCCTAGAAGTGTCTCACGCTGTTAAATTTTGTACACCTATTTCCTTTTTGGAAATGTTTTTATGATATTGTCCATAATTTCCGAAATTTCCTGAATATCTGGAATTTTTATAAGTATTTCCTATAATTTCTAAAATTTCCTGAATAATTTATGAAATTTCCTGAATAATTTCCTGAATTCCCTAAAAAATTACTAGTTTCCTATGAAATTTCTGACATTTTTGAAACAAAAATTGATCATTTTCAAAATTTCTGAGAGATTTTTACCTAATTTCTCCACAAAATTTCCGAACATCTCTACAATATTCACTGTAGTTTTCTATAAAGGATAATCTTTTTAGCTTTGCTGAAAAATGTAAGTTCATGGTGGTGACAAAAGTTGGCTGTTGGTTCCAGTTTGTCACTCTTTGAAAGTAAATCTTCAACTGTTTTACTCTTCAATTGTAAATCTAGAGGGCATCAAATGGATTAGAAATGCTATTTTATCTAATCAAATTATACATGATGAAATTCTATACTCAATTCCATATTTGAAACCCCAATAAATGATTTTGCAAAGATTGGAGTGTTTGGAAAAATAGTTGAAAATTATATTTTTCTATGACCCCTTGACCATAATCTAATATTTTACAGTTAGTTTCTATCGATGTTGTATGAACCTGAATTTGAGGGTATAGGTGAAGCAAGATGTTGTTTATAAAGGTAGAAAATACATTATATTTCCAACAAATACAGAAAACAACTTAAAATTTACAAAAACACAGGAAAAAATATAAGTATTTTAGTGTTTATAGCGATACTCGTCTTAGCATGTTTTCAATTACCACAAATTCCTGCAAACTCCTCTCAAATTCTCTTACAAATTCCCTGAAAATCCTCATAATTGCTCATGATAAGTTTATTTTTTTTAAATTTTTATTTTGCTTAGGTTTGGCTTATTCATCTTCAGATAAACTTGCTGGCAAGCTTGATGGTAACTATCTATAAGATAAATTTACCGATTCCATAATCCTATTGGTCAAGGAATAACTGGCCATCTAATGGGATTACTAATTGCGTTTTATCCGTCAGATTGGATTACCTGACAGTTTATCAGACGGTGAATAAACCAACCCTTAGTGTTAAAATACAAGAACAGTTTATCAAGTAGGATCAAATGCAAGGTTAGGTTAGTTGACTTTAGAGGTAAAACTAATGATTGGTTTCCAGTAATCTAGAATACAGGGGTTTAAACCGAGGTTTAAACTAACCTAAACTTGCATTTGATATTATTATCTAATTGACTTTTTTCATATATGATGCTAGGATACATATTCGGATTCAAATACATTTTTAAACTCGTATCAGCTTCAAGTAGCTTGACGTTCCTTTGCTCTCAAGGTCATTTTTAAGGAGATTTTGTACCTCTTTTGGAAAAGTTCATTCGATTTTCTGGAACAATGTCAGAGCTAACTAATGAATGTTCACTTTTATTATGTTTTTTCTCGTGTTTTCCTTGGTGTTTTCCAATTACCATTTAAAAATGATCTACTAAAATTATGTAATCTCCATTCTCTAATGACCATTACCTTTTTTTTAGTAGGCGATTTTCTAATTTGGCTCCAATATGAAAAGTATCTTAAATGTAGCATTCAAATCCATTCAAGTCTAAGTGGATCCCATTCCAGAAGGTTTTTCCTTGACAGTTGTTAAAATTTTCAAACATTTCCATAATATTAATTTGATTATTCTTTTAAATTTGGACCTGTAAATCATGAAGTGAAATTTTGAAACAATTTATTTGACAAAAATGAGTGTCCAACGTCCAATACAAAACTAGATTTTTTAAAAAAATTCCAATTATTAATGCTTCTTATAATAAGAATGTAAATCTCAATTACATCATGACCATACAATTTCCTCAGAAATTCCTCCAAATTTACTGAAAATTTCTCCAAATTTCCCATAAATTTCTTCGAATTTCCTATAAGTACCTCAATTCCCCACATATTTGGCAAAGAATTCCTAGGTGGTTTGCCCCTTGGAAAATACAGTCTCACACAATTCAAAGTTTTCCTGGAAAACTAATTGAGGGAAAAATTAAAACTTTTTGCATCTGAAGGGAAGGTTAGGAGGTCATTTTCCCAAAATTTCAAATATTTCCAGAGGAAAATAACAACATGAAAAATCTTGGAAATCAACTTAGAAAAAGGGAATTAATTGAAAATACAATTTCACACATTTCAAAGTTTTTCTGAAAAACTAATTAAGGAAAAATGTTGAAACTTTTTGGATGTAAAAAGGAAGGTTAGGAGCTCCTTTTCCCATAATTTCAAATTTTTTGAAAGTAGCCTACAAAAACTGAATTATTTGGAAGACAGTCTCACACAACTCAAAATTTTCCTGGAAAACTAGTGAAGGTAAAAATTTGAAACATTTTGCATGTGAAGATGAAGGTTAGGAGCTCATTTTCCGAGTCATTTTCCCAAAATTTCAAATATTCCCAGTGAAAAATAACAACATGACGAATCTTGAAAATCACCCTACAAAAACTGAATTATCTGAAAGACGGTCTCACGCAATCCAAAGTTTTCCTGGAAAACTACAAAAAAAATAGTGAAGGGGAAAAATTTGAAACTTTTTGCATGTGAAGAGGAAGGTAAGAAGTTAATTTTCCCAAAATATCAAATATTTTCCAGTGAAAAATAACAACATGAAGAATTTTGGAAATCAGGTTACAAAAACTAAATTAATTAAAAATACAGTCTCACATATTTCAAAGTTTTCCTGGAGAACTGATAAAGGGGAAAATTTGAAACTTTTTGCATGTGAAGAGGAAGGAACTTATTTTTCCAAAGTTTATAAATTTTTCTAGTGGAAAATAACAACATGCAAGATATTGAAAATCAACTAACAATAACTGAATTAATAATTGAGAATACAGTCTCACACATTTCACAGTTTTTCTGGAAAACTAGTAAAGGGAAAATTTTGAAAATTTCTACATTTAAAGAGGAAAGTTAGAAGGTCATTTAGCCATAATTTTACATATTTTCCAGTAAAAAATAACAACATGAAGCTTGACTTCTATAGTTTATGAGATGTGTTTATACCTCGGTTTATACATAAACATTGTTTCACGAGGGTTCATAATTTTCCTTCCTTTTTTAAAAAATAGAAATTGACTAAAACAAATCAATGACGTCAAAAACGTTCGTCGGTTCTTGAACCAGAAGTTATTCATTTTAATTTGTCAAAAAAATTGAATGTGTCTTATGAATTAATTTACGACAACCCTTTTCTTTTCAAGCTATGACTTGTTTGATATCAAAAGTATGAATTTTCGTGAAACGATCTGTACCTTTATTTTGTTAGCAGTTAGGTATTTTTATTCACAAAACACCGAACAGGAACTAAACAATATTCGAAACACAAAAATTCTCAAGATTTCTGGTGAAAATTTCCTAATTTCTTATAATAATTTCAGTAAATTTTTTATATTTCGAATAATTTCGTAACAGTTCCTGACATTTCCCAAAATTTCCAAACATTTTCTATAATTTCTGAGAATTAACATAATTTGTGACAATTCATAGGAAATTTCTGCAATTTCTCAACATTTCCGGAAATTATTTTAAGATTTGTACACCTATTTCCGACCGTGAGACACCCATCGATTTTTTCTCAAAACTCACAGTAATTAAAAGGCCGGTTTTGAATTTTTCTGTTGGTCTTCAATATGATTATAGTACCTATGTGGTAAATTAACCTAATAAGCAGTCAAAAACATGAAATAGTATATTATGTATCAAGTTTTATAAAACAAGCATACATATTTTATTTTATTTTACTATATCATTACGGGTGAACCCAATTACAGTGACAGAAATAACTGAGAGTTACATAGGTAAGCTTACATTAAAGGCAGCATACAAGTAAAAGAAGTCTTAAGCACAAACAAGATATACGAAAATATAGGGTTGGACTTTTATGCATCTCTTAAATTTGTAATAAATATATCAATAGTTGTAGTATTATTACAAGTTTCACACCCCCAGGTTAGGCATAACTCCAGGATAAACATAGCAACTGGACACACTTACCCTGGAGCTACAACCAACCTAGAGGTGACTCGCTGTTGAGAAACCTGTACCTAGCAAGAAAATTTATTCTAGAACTCAAAAATTAACTTTTGTGCTATGTATAACCCGAGGTATAGCCTATACTCAGGATATTCTTGAATTGTCGAACCGGCCCTAAAAGTGATATTTCCTCGGATATTCCTGCCCTAACCTGAAAGGTACGTCCAGTAAGAAATTCCCCAAGAAGTCGCAGTAAATCGCCTCAAACTCCAAAATGATATGGCTTGTATAATGAGTATATTGACTATTATTGACCAGTGTGAAGTTAGCAATCAATTTGACGGAAACACCCGAACAACCATTGGTGTGGCAATTTTGTTTTTTAGATTTAAAATAAATTCAATAAATCATACTTAGACATCGAGTCTAGTCCTGAAATTGATAGAGCACTATTTCAACACTTTTTCCATCCCAATTCAAAATCCCATTGACTCAAACCCTGTCGAAATATGGAAAACTATCCTCAACAACTAAATATTCAGATTTTCGTATTTTTTTCGCAAATGCATTTTTACTTGTTAAGGACAGTTTTTTATATAGTCTTCTTTTAAGTTCAGCTAAAAATTTTCTCTGCATCTGAGTTTGCTCACTCTTTATGTAGATTCCAGCAGTGTTGTCTAGTTTTTATTTTTGTCACAATGCATTTTTTGCATGATATTTGGGTGTGAACGGTCTCACCTTTTCTGTGTTGTATTTTCCTAGTCTATGTAGACTCATGTCACTGTCGGATACCTTTACATCTATCCTTCGCGATGTTTAGTTCAGCTTCAATTCTCTTTTCTTTGTTTTGTATATCATGTTCCTTCGCGACAAACAGCTAAATATTTGCTGAACATCTTTCTCTTTCCATCATCCTCTCTACTACATCGATTTATAATTTATAAAACATCTAAATAAATTTTAAATCTCAAATATTCAAAACGCAAAACAGATAAATTTCACAATTTAAATGGTTCAAGGCTAATTTGATTGTTATAGGTACATAAAGCACAGTTGTTGTGCCTAAGAATGGATTTAATTAAAAAAGTAAACTGTAGGTAAAACAATGTTTACTAATATAGAAGTAGAAGAAATATAAAAACAACATATTGAGGATTTATATAATATAATATGTACCATATACCTAATATTTATTTTGGTTCACAGTAATTATTTCTCAAGGTTTCTATTGTTTATGCTGCATTGATTTTCAGTATCTAATTTATGTTTTTGTGTGTGAATGAGTCTCCTGCGTTGGAGAATCAATCCAACAAGTGCTTGTTCATTTTGAGATGCTTTTTTTGGTTGATGTTTGTAGTTGGATGATTATCATATATAAGATTCTAATTAGTTCTGTCTCTCTTTTTCCTCATATTTCTATGATAATTACTTTTTCTAGAAGATAGTCATAGATAGGTATTAAATTAAAAATAGACAGTCTATTAGTACAAAGGCTAATTAAAATTGTGATGCTTAAAAAATCTCAAAAGATACTTAATAAATAGATAAAAGTAATAAGCAAATAACCATTAATGATACTTTGTTAAATTAATAATTTCAAAAAAACTAATCTACAGAATTAACACTTTTGAAATTCTTCAGTCTTACTCTAAATATAGCTGGGCGTTTGGGGAGCCCCTTCGTGTAAAATTCACTCGAAATAATTTCTTGCGTGCCTGAGCCATCGATCTCACCGGGATTATAAACGGGGCCCAAATAGAATTTAACCCTTAGGTATTTATTTATTTGATTTACTGCGTTGTGCAAGGGCCCACAAACTGACTTTATCGGCCTTTCACATGAAATGGTCAAAACAATTGTCCGAAATTGAAAATCAAATAACGACCTATATTAAGGTCGTTAGTCATTAAAATGCTGTTAGTCTAGTTCTCACAATCTAATGCCAAATTTAGTAGCGCGAGACACTAAGGCGGCAAACTTTTATTTTAAAATCGTCAGTCGATAAATTATTCATCCTTTTTTAATTAGCATAATAGCGGAGCCTAAAAAGAGACGTCTAGCTTCGTTGTTGTTTTCATATGGGCAATGTTAAAATACTTTCACGAACTTTCATTGATTGCCCAGTAGGATGACTCACCGCCTACCGACTGTACAACGTTGCCAATCTGATTTAATACAGGGAATTCCACATGAGTAAAGAGATCTTGAAATTGTATATGAGAATGGATTATATTTCTAGAATTATTGTTGCTCGAATTTTTGTTATACACATACAAATCAAAAATGTCACTTTGTTAAAAAATCCCCTGGGTAATCAAACGAGTATTTTCTCTTCGGTTCAGTGGTTTTATTAGAATCGACCCTAGAGATGATGAACATTTTTCTGATAGACTATATTGCACAAATAGGTTGGAAAAAAAATATTATGGCTTTAGGAAGCCTGCCAGGAATTTATATTATACATTTTTGTAGCTACCAAGCAAATTCAATTAGGAAATTTTGAAAAAATCAATATTCAATTCAAAGTTTGCTCTATTTAGACCTGGGAATTGGGAAAATAAATTTTGTTTTAGACAAAAAAATTCTAAATTAAATATGCAATAAGTAAAACGAGGAATAAAATAAATGTTTTTTTTTCCTAAGGTTATTATGCACTTAGCCAACCATTTGCAAATTGTCGAAGCAGAAAAACAAAAACTCAGAGCTCAGGTTCGCAGATTGGTTCAGGAAAACGCTTGGCTCAGAGATGAGCTGGCTTCGACTCAACAGAGACTGCAGGCTAGTGAACAGGTAAGTTTAACTTTATTTTTAAAAAATGTTTGCATAAACTTGTTCAAAAGTTCACGGAAAGGAAATTCCCACGCAAATAAGTTTTCTTTGTTTGACATGCTTCCTGCCTGTGTCTGGCATATTATTAATTCTGGCTGACACAAATTTTGCGTTCCAACGATTCTTTTGAGAGGATTAACTAGGCTTCTCTAATTTGGAAGCCATAGCAAAGTATGAATATTCAGTAGATTTACAACGAAATTCTTTACTTTGTTTATTAATAAGATGTTTTATTGAACGTCTAATTTTAGCCTTTTTAATAAGAAGATATTTTCATACCTGCTGTACCATTATATATTTGGATATTTTCAGGCTGTGGCCCAATTGGAAGAAGAAAAACGGCATCTCGAATTCATGAGATCGGTGTGCAAATACGATCAGGATCAAGAAGAAAGTCAAGACGGTGGGAGGCATCAAGAAAAATCTGATCCGGTAGTCGATTTGTTCCCTGATGATCAAGATGACGACAGGAATAGTAAGTTATGATTTCATTTAGGAAATTCAAAAATCCCTTTTCAAGATTACCATAAAATACCAATGTATATAATAGCTTATAGAATTCCTATTGGAATATTTTGCAAATTAGGAACAATTTTCTAACAATCAAGATTTTTATTGAAAATGCAGGATTCGAAGTCTAGCTCATTTGATTTACAAATCTATCAGAGAGAGTGTCAGTATATTATGAATAATAAATAAAATATTCCCTTGTTTACTCAAACTATCAGCCAAAGTTTCAGGCAAACAAGGTAATAATGGCGAAGTTGTAAAATGTATACTTCATAGCCGAGAAGTTTTCCAGACATGCGATAACATTAAGTTCAAAACTTTGCCACGTTTACCTTCTAGCTAATGTTGTTGGAAAAGTCATTACTTAAAAACAAATTTCTAATAAAATTCATTTATTCTTCCAGATATGTCCCCGACACCACAAAACCAATTAAATTTATCACAACAAGTAAACGCTGGCTATGAAATACCTGCACGTCTCCGCACATTACATAACTTGGTGATCCAGTACGCATCGCAGAGCCGTTACGAAGTAGCCGTACCTCTTTGCAAACAAGCGCTTGAAGATTTGGAAAAAACGAGCGGTCACGATCACCCCGACGTAGCTACCATGCTTAACATTTTGGCCCTAGTCTACAGAGACCAGAATAAATACAAGGAAGCCGCCAACTTGCTCAACGACGCGCTGGCGATCCGTGAGAAAACCTTGGGGGAAAATCATCCAGCTGTAGCTGCTACACTCAATAATTTAGCGGTGCTTTATGGGAAACGGGGCAAATATAAGGAAGCCGAGCCACTTTGTAAAAGAGCTTTGGATATTAGAGAAAAAGTACTTGGCAAGGATCATCCCGATGTTGCCAAGCAATTGAATAATTTAGCTTTATTGTGTCAGAATCAGGTAAGAATATTTTCTTTTGATTATACTTAAATACCAGTAATGTCCGCCTATAAAAACCCAATTATACAGAGTGGTTATTTAAGTTTGCCACATACATATGAGGATTTTTTTTAAGTAATAGCACAACCCAAATGCAAATAAGGTCAGAAGTTGGTGCATGTCTGATAATCATATTAGGTGCGCTTCAAGTCAAACCTCATACAGGGTAACTCAAACAATATCAAAATTGTACTGGAAAGTACCATTATTTTAGAAAATTCAGCAAAATGTTATTGAGAAAAGTTGTTTGGAATTAAAAGTTAGACTTGAATACTAAAAATTTGCAATTAATGTAGGATAGGAACCTATTCTGAACCCGTTTTACTTTTGAGATATGAATATCATAATGGGGATTCCAGATGGTAGAAGCATATTCTAAATGGGATCGCACGAGACTGCTATATAGAATCTTCAGAGCATGGATGGTGTTGAAGTCAAATGTATTTCTTTTGATAATAATGCTTTGTTTGTTATGAATGTTATATGATCAATATACAACAGGCTCGGACAAGAACAACTCCTAGATCCATTATGGTTTCAGAGGCTGTGAGGATTTCACCCTTGATTGTATAGTTAATTCTTTTTCTAGAAAAAATCATTAGTTTGCACTTTGAAGTATCAAGCTCTATCCCATTTGGGTCACACCACTCTACAAACCTATTCAAATCCCTCTGCAGATCTAATAGGGAATTCCATTGGCAAAAACAGTGTCGCATCGGTACGGCACTCACACTCGTTTTGGCCAATTTGAAACTTGCACTGGTGCAATAAATAAATAAATGCCAATGGGGTTCACTTTTACCATTGGGATTGGATGTGTTACCAAAATTCAAAAATTTAGGATATTATGGACTATGATGGTTCTTGCTTTTTTTTTTCCAAGAATTCCTTGGGTAATGTTTTCTTGCTTTGAGCAGAGGAAAATACTCGTCTTCACCTGTATCATTGCTGCTGGAAGATAAGAGACATGACAGCAACAAAATTTTTTCTTACATTTCTTGTTCTGTCATGCTTTAATGATCGCGAACCAAACTATACAAAATAAAAATAATTGAAAGCTAGATATGATAAATGAGAGAAAAATTATAAAAACTCTGGAGAAAAATGAAGGAGTTTGGTTATTATGGCCACATGTATCAAAACAACAAAAACGTCAAAATGCACCGGTGCTGCACGATGCACTAAGAGCAAAAAGTGCCGAACCAATTTCTCAATGGGATTCAAAAACTTGCACTGAAGTGGCCAATGGTTGACAAATATTGCACCCATGCCGCACGAGTTTGGCCAATGGAATTGGCTATAGGCAGTCTCCCAAATTCGAAATTAGTTTGGATGACTTTACGTCATTAGCAAAAAATAAAGGAAAAGTAGATTTGAAGCAGGAGGCAGCATCATTAACAAAGCAGTTGACGATAAGTGGGGCAAGGTGTGACCCCTGAAGAAACCTGTATTTTCGATCCACCTGAGCATAGGTTCAGAGATACCCAAAAGTTTAGGTTTGTCAATTAAGACATTGTGCGCTACCTTGTCAAAGGCTTTGGAAAAGTCGGTATACGGGTGATTCAAAAGTAAGCGGCATCCTTTCGGGGGCGTATTCCTTGCATAAAAATAAGACAAAAAGTTCCTATTAACATGGGTCCGGAAATGCTTCCTAAGGGAGTTACGCCCCTTCGAATAGGACACCTGAAAGACGTATTTTTCTCTATAACTTTGAAACCCTTCACAAATGGATTTTGAAAATTGGTGTATTTTATAAACATTTGATACTAAATTGAAAGTTCAAACATTTTAATCAGTGGCGTCACATACTGGGGAGGATGAGGGTTAAAACATCCCTATTTTTTTTATTCGTCAGGTTTTTGCGATTCTGATTGAAAATTCAGAAAGTTTACAGTTTTTTACACAGAAAAGGTACTCTTGGTTCAATTCGATACAGCGTACCATTTACGAGAAAATTTTTTGATATGCGTATGTTTCGCAGAAACCTGACGAGGATGTTTTCACCCTCCCCAGTATGTGACACTGATTAGAATTTTTGAATTTTCAATTTAGTATCTTAATTGCCATCAAATGTTTAAAAAATGCACCAATTTTCAAAATCCATTTGTGAAGGGTTTCAAAGTTATACAGAAAAACACGTCTTTCAGGTATCCTATACAAAGGGGCGTAGCTCCCTTAGGAAGCATTTCCGGACTCATTTTAATAGGAACTTTTTGTCTTGTTTTTTTGCAAGGAATACGCCCCCAAAGGATGCCACTTACTTTTGAATCACCCTGTATATTGAATGTATCTCAAAATTATCTTCCAGGGCCTCTGTGATAGTTGTTGTGTGAGATAGGAGGTTGTTCAGCATTGCGACCTGCGCAAAAGCCAAACTGTTCATTAATATAAACATTAAACAGGAAAAGACCAAGTACAGGGTGGGCCAATTTGGACACTTTTAATAGGAAACATCAATTTCTGAGCAAGATACAAAAAAATGAACCCCCCACTCTGAGGCTCAAATTTCATGAAATTTTGATTGGTGCAAACTGCATTTTGATATCTTCAACCGTTTAGCCGCTAGAGGGCGATTCTCGATTTTGAGCAACTAGTAGTAAGTAAGTAGTAAACATGCTTTATTGTCAAAGATTACATTGATCCTTATTGACAAAGCTAAGTCTTAAATACATCGCAATAAAAAATCCATTAAGTGGACATAAAAATCAAATATAGAGATTAAATATAAAAAAATACAAAACACACACACATCAGTCCAACATCCAACATTCAATCCAAAAATCCTATGTTATCTAAAAAATACAACTAGCTTAAATTAAATTAGAAAAACATGAATGAAGGTACTTACTTAATGTGAAACCATCATTGTTTGTGAAAATTATTGATTTCCGTAAAAACTTTCTAGAAGCACTTTTTCAAGCAGAATTCAGTGACGTTCTCAGTTTTTTTCTAGTTGGTCCCAACTCCGAGATATTGAGCAAAGGCTGGTTTTTTTCAATAGGACACCCTATTTATTAATAGCTCATTAGAAAGCTCTGCTTTTTCTGATTTCAATGATATAAAGTTCGATGGGTTTATCTCTAACAGTTTCCGAGAAAAAAAATTATTTCGGTTTTTGCCATAAGAAACAATGTGTTGGAAAGAGACCTTTTTCAGTTTCCTTACAGATATAAAGTCCTTTTCTTACACATTGCTTCTTATGACAAAAACCGAAATATTTTTTTTTCTCGAATACTGTTGAAGATAAGCCTATCGAACTTTATATCATTGAAATCAGAAAAAGCAGAGCTTTCTAATGAGCTATTAATAGATAGGGTGTCCTATTGAAAAAAAACAGATTTTGGTCAATAGAGAGTTCTCGTGCTGTCCAAATTTCAAATACCGTAACGTTATTTGACAAGTATGAGAGTTCTTACAGTATTAGCGTTAGCGGAGCCCGCTACGTAACGGAAGTTAGCGGATGCCTTACCGTAACGCTATGCTATGTAAAAATTAGTTTACGCTCCATTTACGTCTGCAAGAACAGCAACTTCTAATAATTCCTCCATAAAAAACACCAGGAAAAATTTATCAAACTCAGAATCTTCAGGATAAATAATAAGTTAGAAAACAAGGAAAAAAAGTTGGGTTAGATCACTCAACTCAGCTGTTAAAATGTAAACAGAATAAGGGATTGGAGGATTTTCATGTCTTCGTGTCCGAGAACTATAAAATACCATGTAAAATACCGCATTGTTAACGGTACCGTATTAGCGTAGCGTCTGAGGCACGAGAACTCTCTAATATCTCAAAGTTGGGACCAATTAGAAAAAAACTGAGAACGTCACTGAATTCTGCTTGAAAAAGTGCTTCTAGAAAGTTTTTACGGAAATCAAGTATTTTCATAAACAAAAAAGTTATGGAGGTTTCACATTATTGCTCAAAATCGAGAATCGCCCTCTAGCGGCTAAACGGTTGAAGATATCGAAATGCGGTTTGCACCCATCAAAATTTCATGAAATGGGAGCCTCAGAGTGGGGGGTTAATTTTTTTATATCTTGCTCAGAAATTGATATTTCCTATTAAAAGTGTCCAAATTGGCCCACCATACTCACCAAGGACTGAACCACTTAAACAGTTTTTAATTTTAACCTTTTGTGATCTTTTATGCAAAAATGACATTATGAGGTTGTTTTCAATGCCTTTAATCCCCATTTTGTCCAGCCTCCCCAGTAAAATATATGTGCCACAGTGTCAAAGGCCTTGTCTAGATCCAAATATATTCCTAAAACCTTTTTGACCCTATCCAATTTACTAACAAGGATCTCCGTTTACCTGCAGTACTGGCATTCTTTCTGAAAGCAAACTGGGTTTTTGATAATAAGTCATTACTTTCTATGAAAGACTGTAGTCTCAATTTAATGAAATTTTCAACCAGAATAAAGTGCTAGTTAGAACAATAGGCGGATAGTTTGTGGTCAACTCTGCATTTCCTTGCTTGAAAATAGGCCTACATCTGTCTTCTTAAGGACACTTGGATAAATTCCACCCCTCAAAACACAGTTGGCCAAATGCAAAATAGGTGTTTATGTTTCTGCTTAATGATCTCGGAAGTAATTGAATTATCACCATTTGCTCTATTATTTTTTAAGGTTTTAATTTGTAATATCAATTCATTTTCTGTAAAAGGAGTGAAATAAAAGGAATTTAAGTTAGTCTTACTTAGTTCTTTCTATGTAATTTGGTATTGAGGTTTTTGTCTTGCTAGCTAGCCTTTCTCCTACTTTTCTGAAATAACTATTAAATTAATCTGCAATCAAGGTAGGATCAGATGGGTTCTGTTATTTTCATTAATAATTTTTCTGATATCACAGTAGTTGTTGGTTCTGTCATTGGTGGCCTCCCTTACAATTTTCCAAGTTTTTTTGAGATCATTATTGCAGTTTTGAATCTTTATTCTGTAATACTGATACTTTAATACTTTTAATGAATCCTAATGATTTCATAAATAATTTGGCTGTTATTATGGAAAGAGAATGTTATTGATCCCAATCGTCTGTACATTTTTACCGGGGACATAAATTTAGATATTTTGGATGCTGGTAGGGATACTGTCAATAATTACTTGAGCTTGCTACATAGTTCATTTGGGTAGGATTTTTTTTTGCAATGCATGTATTTTTCGACAACAATTTTCCTAGACTATATGCCTAGGATTGAAAATGCGAAATTCCGGTAAAGAGAAAACTTGTTTACATAAGGTCTTTCCACCACTACATCCCTCGGACACCAAATTCAAATATTTCCACACCCTGTATCTCTAAAAATTTGCAAAAGATACTAAACACAGGCTCGTGTAAAAATTCCTAAAATTTCTTTTTTTTTTTGTTGGTTATACGTGGACATTAATGTTGTTTCACTAGAAATTAAGTTTCTTTCCATCACTTGAAACTGACTTTTCTCTACTGAACAAAAACAGTCAATGTCATAAATTTTTAGGGTAAATATGAAGAAGTCGAAAAGTATTACCAACGCGCCTTGGAAATCTACGAAAAACGTTTGGGCGCCGACGATCCTAACGTCAGTAAAACGATGAACAACCTGGCTTCGTGTTACTTGAAACAAGGCAAATACAAAGAAGCCGAAGTGCTGTACAAGCAGATTTTGAACAGAGCCCACGAGCGGGAGTTTGGAACCATTGACGGTGAGCACACGCCTGAGAAATAGAATAAATTGTACTTAGTAGCTATTTTTTTTTATTTTTTGGATTTTTGTTTTAATATTAATTACTTATTACCTCTTTGTAGGTTTTAGATATGCACGTTTTTTTTAATTGTGATCAGAATTTGTAACATTGAATTGGTGCTTTGAAAGTTCCAATTTTTGTCTTGCATGAATTACATATCAGCACTGTATGACAAATTTATTTGAAAGTTGACTAGTATTTCTTGTCTACTTTTAAAAATTTTCGCGATTTAATGATTGACATTTGGTTTTTAGTTTTGAAACTAATTGTAGAGCAACATTGAAATAACTAATCGATCTCCTTCTTATTTTGCTGAAGGTGAATCAGAGTTAGTTTCTAGATTTAATGTAAAGTTGTTTCTAGTAAAGATAAATGGGCCCTAAGCTTAACACCCATTGTGACATGCTTCATCCCTATAAAAATTTGATCGAAATCAAATCCAACAACAAATAAAATAAAATTTTATTATGAATTAATCACTGTATGACTGTTATATGGTAACATTACATTCTGTATAATAATTTTATTATTATTGTCATGAAACTTCTTTTTTAATAGCCCTGTATGAACTAAAACCAAATCTGTACAATGTTACGATTAGTTTTCTAAAAAGGATTTACTATATCAAAATATGGACTATCTACCTCTTGACTAAACACTTTCACACAAAAATTTGTACCTAAAATTTTATATTTTTAAAAAAATTATGGCATGACTGGGTGCTTTTTTTTTTTTGGTTCCTATTTTACAGTATTTAAAAAAAAAATACACAACTTTTAAATTTGTTTATTAATAGTAGTTGAAGATGGGAGAAATCAAAAATATCCTAACTATAACTGTAAATGAAAAAATCTGGTTTGAAGATTAGACAAATCAGAATAAAAATAAGAAATATGTTGTGGTGGAAGTTCCATTATTTTTTTAAAAAATTATTCTCTAATTTTAAGTTCATTTTATTTATACAGAGTGTTTAATTTTTGTATTTTTTTTTTTGTGAGTATTGTGCAATATAGCTTTTTTTATTAATTGCATGTTTTGTGTTTTATTTTGTCTCTAGTCCATTTGTGTTTCCTTCTAAAAAACCTCACTCAAGTTAAACACTCTGTATTAGAAGCTTTTTTTGTGACTAACCCATTAACAATTAAAATGGTAAGTATATTAAGTATATCAAATTAATTTATTTAAAAATATATGAATATAATAAATGTTCCTTTCAGACGACAACAAACCAATCTGGAAAGTGGCGGAAGAACGCGAAGAGAACAAAGCAAGAAATCGCGAGAACGCGCCATACGGCGAATACGGCGGATGGCACAAGGCCGCCAAAGTTGACTCTCCGACTGTGACGACGACCCTCAAAAACTTGGGGGCACTTTATAGACGCCAGGGCAAATACGAGGCCGCCGAAACATTGGAAGATTGCGCGTTGAGAACAAGAAAGGAGGTGAGTTTTTGATTAGATTTATTTGAACACACTAGTAGATGATTTGGCTTAAATGTTCATTAACATTTGAATTTTCTTCTTTGTTTTTAATGCCACGCTGCAGCATGTGCAACAAGTAAGTTTTGCTTTTATTTAAATTTGCGTGACTTATTAAGTGAGCAGCAATAGATTTATTTGATTTTTTGGGGCAAAATATAAGTCTGTAGCTTTATGGCTAATATTTCATAAATTATGTTTTGCTTGTTGCTTATAAAGATTGAGGCTGTTTACTGGATTGTAAAAGTTTTTCTTGTAAATGAAATTACATAAAAACTATTCAAGGGTTAGTGAGAACGTTGATTTCAGATGAACTTTACAAGAAGTTATCTGAAAGAGTTAACCCATAACTCCTTTGAGACCAACTACCAGTTATATGTATATTACTCTAAATATTATTTCCACCAAACTCATTCGAAACACAACTACTCTTCCAACTAATTTCAGTTCATTTACATCAAAAAATGCCATTACACCTTGTGTGAACTGACACACGGTTATTCAAACCCAAACATAATACACATTACTTCAGAATTGCTTATCGACCTCGTTTTTGATAATTGCAGTCATGGTGTAGGTGCAGCACCATTGCTGACGTCATTAACTAACTTGTCAAAGAGGAAGATACAAACGTGATCTAAAAAAAATTGTTTTTTGTTTTAAAATGTTAATTAATGCATTAAAATCAAGTATGCATAAACTAATGAAGCAAAAGCCCGCGGAATCATAAGTTATTTTTTCTCGCTTAAATTGGTTACACCAGGTTAAACCTTTTTCAAAATATCACATTTTTGCATTGAACTAGTGACGTCATAACAAAACTGTTTGAAAATATTTTGAAACGAGATTTCGCATCGGTTCAAAAACAGCGGAATTAGGCTATCCAGATCACATGATCTAATATGGCTGTTCAGGTCAAATTGTAGTGACTTTCATTAAAAAAAAACATTTGTGTTCTGGCCCTTATTGTTGTAGATGCTAAGGCCAAGCTGTACAATGTTGGTTCAAAACAGAGTTCAGCTGAACTCGACTGGTACTTGAACTTTCCCATTTGAAATGCATTGCTGTCAGAATTGATATATGTAATTTTATTAATAGTTAACAGCAATGCATTTTAGATGGGAAAGCTCAAGTACCAGTTGAGTTCAGTTGAACCTTAGAGCAGTTGAACTTCGGTTTGAACCGAGATTGTACAGGGTATCCGAATTTGGATGGTTTTAATTGGAAACGTCAATTTTTGAGCGAAATACAAAAAAAATGAACCCCCCACTCCGAGGCCCAAATTTCTTGAAATTTTGATTGGTGCAAACCGCATTTTGATATCTTCAACCGTTTAGCCGCTAGAGGGCGATTCTCGATTTTGAGTAATACTGTGCTCACTAGCTCAGAAATTGACGTTTCCTATCAAAACCATCCAAATTCAGACACCCTGTACAACTGGACCTAAATATGACAATGCCAATGTCAAACCTAAATGTCCAGAACATTGGGTCCAGAATATGTGACAAAATAAGAAATTTTTCATTGATTTTAATCAGTAACCTAAATGCTAAATGTAATGTCACGGCTTTGGATTGCCAGACAGAAATATTGGGTTCGGTTCGTTTATTCCAAAAATCAAAGTCCAATTAACACAGCAATAATTTATTCCACGTAACAATACACTCTGACACTAATTACTTTAATAACTAACTCAACAATCAAACTCTTTACAACTCAACAATCACTATTTAACTCGTATCACAGTCAAACTTTAACTTAAAACTACAAAGCAATAGCGGCCTTTTATATATCCTTAAATCTATTCCTGTAAAATCTAGAACACACGCGATAACTCCGCTTTTCTCGATTAAGTAGAATTGACCAGATTAATAGGAATCTGCAATTTTCTAGGGAATTCGATAGGGTAGCTTTCTTGACAGCCTGGCGACGCCACAGTAATCAACACATTGTCTGACCCTGACCTCCACTTCCATATTGAATTTTGTTTCAAAGGTCGGGATTGCCAATAGTTTAGGAAAGTTCACAATTTGTTGTTTATGTTTATAAACTTTGTTTCACCAGGGTTCATACTTTTGACACAGCATATACAAAAACAATCAACAGGCTAACTTGAATGACAATGACAATGTCACTAGCGGCCATTTTGGGATACGAAACAGGGCCTGATTAACGATAATTTAAGATTTTTTCTTTCCTGTCACAGAGTCGTATTGGCTAAAAATGAACTAATTTATTATTACTTTCATAGTTACATATAATAATATTTATAATTACTAATTTATTATTATTATTATTATTATTATTAAATATACAACAATGATAACAGATAACACTATAAATGACAACACGAATATAAAGTGTGTTTTTTTTTTAAAGATAAAAGTCAAAATGACATTATGTTGGCAATACAATGTAAAATTGTCAATGCTTTCGAATTTTCTATGTAGAAAAGGCTTGTGTTGCCAACATAGTTGCTAAATTTTTGACTTGGGGAATTATCTTTAAAAAAAAAACAGACTTTACGAAAATCACTTCGAAAATCATAACTAAAATTCCACTCTACACCACACGCCTATGACCACCGTCAGAAATAAACAAACAAAATAAAATTTCGGCGCCCATGCCGTTTAATGACAGGATGGTATCCCCTAATGGCTGCGTGCGCAGAAAAGATGCGCGTGAGAGTTAGCCTGCTGGCTTTTGACATGATTTGCCTTCCTTTTTCAACAAATAAAAATTGACTGAAACAAATCAATAACGTCAAAAACGTTCGTCGGTTCTTGAACCAGAAGTCATTCATTTTAATTTGTCAAAAAAATTGAATGTGTCATATGAATTAATCTAGGACAACCCTTTTTTTTTTCAAGTTTCAAGGTCAAGTAAAATCTGTTTTTTTTTTAAAGATAATAGACCTATCTATTTTTACCTGGTATGCGCGCGCAACACGAGGCAATGTCTTTTTATTGGCTAGCTAATACAGGTGTGAGTTGATCGTTTTGCACGCTGGGCATCTCTTTATCCTTGTTCATTGCACGTGGTCTGACAAGAATAAATCTGAAGTTGATATTCAACTTGACGAGTGTCATTCAAAAGCTGTTTGACATTTTCATTGACAAATACGTTACACAACACGCGGTTTTTCTCCTTTCCTTTTTATCCTGTGCAAATAAGAAGGACGGATTACTATACGTAAGTCTATCATAATTTGGTACGTTTTGCCTCGTCTTGCGCAATGAGCGTTCTGTGTCTTCTTTTATCTAATGAAGTTTTCGTATTATTACCTCTTTGTCTGGTAAAATAGATAGGTCTATTCCCCTAGTCAAAAATTTAGTAACTATGTTGGCAACACAAGCCTTTTCTACATAAAAAATTTGAAAGCATTGACAATTTTACATTGTATTGCCAACATAATGTCATTTTGACTTTTATTTAAAAAAAAAAAAAACAGACTATGAACCCTGGTGAAACGATTTGTAAATTACGGTATCATGAACACTCTTACATTTTTTGAAAAATAGATCATTGGAAAACATTAATAATAACCAATGTCATAAGTATGGCTAATTACCAGAAAAATAAAAACAAACAAAAATCCATGTATGTATGTATGTGAAGTTCGTCTCATGAGGGTTCATACTTTTGACATCGAAGACGTCATAATTTTTAAAAAAAAAGGATTGTCGTAGATTAATTCATATGACAATTTTTTTGTCTGTCAATACATTTCGAACTGCTAGGATCCAGAAAAAAACACTTATAACTTGTGATGCAAACACGCTACGTCAAGGCGAGAAACTACACGCTGCCTACGTCATCACTGGTACTTTGGCATAATGGCGGGCTTGACATTGAACTACAAAGGCCTTATGAAGATAGGCTATCCTGTAGTTGTAGTGCGTATTATCCTTGATTCAAACCACGTGATTTTCTACAATGGCGGGTGATGGCAAACCATGGTTACTATTAAGGATTGAAAACAAATGCAACTTTCCACAGTGTGTCAATACGCAAAAATATTATCATTGTTGCGTTTTTGTCTCTCTCCTACTCACAATGTTTTAGACAGTTCAATACAATGACATCAGAAAAGTCTTACCATAGGCATCTATGGAAGTGGGCCATCGATTTCACCATGACTCAAGGTTCCTAAAGTTAATAGGTTGTCTGGTAATGGGTAACTTGATGACGTCATCTGGGGTGCCTTATCGAGATTTGCATTATGTTGAGGCACCTCGGATGTCGTCATAAAAATTATCAGGCAATCAAAGAACCTTGACCATGATTATTTTCCTCCTGTTAATTTTGACCAATCAGAAGTGATAATTTTGTTGTCAAAAATTATTTTTAATTGGAAAAATTACCTGCCATCACCCGACATTGTAGAAAATCACGTGGTCTGAATTACCTAGGTAAAATGAGTGCAAAGGAAATGTATTTCTATCTGTTTCTTCAACAGGCTGAGAGAAAGAGATGGAAATACACTCAGCGCGAATTAAATCTACCAAATATCCCAAAATAATCCAATTCTAACAGAAACTTGCTTGTATTTCCAAAACCTTACTATTAAGGTATAGGAACATGATACATCATATGTAAGGGATTTCAATTGCCTTTTATAATACTTCATAATATACAGGGTGCTCTATTTAAAAAAAAGTGTACTTTTCATCTTTTTTGTACCAATTTTGACCAACCCTGTATAATGTAGAATACATTTTCTTGCTCAAAAGTAATATGCAGGATATCCCTAAGTTATCTCCAAAATTTAAACCTTCTACGAATCTCTGTGACATAGTAGGTATTACTGGAGCTATAGGCCCGGATTTCAAAACCGCGATTCGATAGTATCGTCCATATAAAATGGATAGACGATACTATCGAATTGTGGGTTCGGAATACGGGCCCTGTCTTTAATAAATCGAAAATCACTAGAGATAAGTATAGGACAGTATGATACAAAAATAATCAGTAAGTAATACCGGAGCAAAAATTGCAATAATATAGAAAGTGTCTCATTTAAAATATCAAACTTTATACATATTACTTTTTGGTATAAGCAGGAATGTTTTATCGTTGAAATTATTTTAGAATGATAGATCAGGAGTAATTTCTTAGGCACAGAAATTTTCATAAAAATCTAATATTCCGTTTTCCATAAGCATGTAAGATACCATCGACCATCAATCACCATGTATAACGAAAAACATTGAGTGAATGTTTAAAACTTATAGTGTGCAAGACTTGATTCTAGTTACTGCCCTACAACATTGTTTCTCCAAAACAATACTGAAATTAATACAATGCAAAAAAGGCAAAATCAAGCTCTTCGTAGAATGTTAGATACTGTTGGTATTCAAGTGATTGACAGTCAATAAATTATAATACACTGGTATTTATTTATAAAATGCTCTGTTCCAACAGAAATGAGAACCATTTCAGAACCAGTAATTCCCAGTTGCCCACCTATTTTTCATATAAGTTGAACGTTTATCCTAATTGACAAATGAATTGATCGACTAGAAATTACCGTTCTAGAACTGTTCTCATGTCATGGTCATTTGCTCGACAACTGTACAAGATATACATAATCATTTTACAATACCTGCAAACAACTTTGTAGAACTGTACAAAGAAGATTTGACCAGAAGGACTTTTTCCATAAAAGACTGAAACTACAATGAACTACCTGAACACCAAAAGAACTACCGTGAAAGCTTAAATTCATTCAAAAATTACTTTGAATTGCACTACTCATGTTATACGTTCACACTATTAATAAAAACAAAATAAAATATTATCATTATTATATTCGCCATATTTGCAGCAAGCGCTCGACATTGTAAAGCATTCGAAGGTGGGCAACCTGCTCGGAGGCGAAGACCGGCGCAAGAGCGCCAAGACGTCACGTCGCGGTTCCAGGGAGTCGCTCGAACTGTCTTACGATGGAGATGAGGTAGGTGATTGAGTAGTTTGTTTTAGGAATATAGCATCCTCCTCAAAAATGTACTAAATGTTGAAAAGCTTCAAAGCGGAGACATATTATTATTACTTGAAACACGTTCTGTAATATAAGGAGTCTAAAACTTTCAGCTGAAAAATTTACTTCTGTTGTGAAGTGACCTTAATGTGTTTCCGCCTCTTTAACTTGCATATTTTGATTGGAAAAAGCAAATTTCTTGTAGATTCTGATTGCTTCACCGCTTTTTACAATTTATGTTTGTAGTATTTGACTGACACGCCTCTAACTTTTTCACCTTCGAAACTTAGACATTTTATCAACTCCATGTAACACTCATTTTGTTTGTACCTTCCTAACCCTTTAACTACTCCAGTTTGAAAATGTGATATATTTTTTTTTTCTGACAAATTGTATCGGGATATTTTTTACTAACTTTGTTAACAATTATTACATTATTATTGTTAGGAGTTACTACTAATAGAAAAACGTTTTTGGTAGTCGAATATACATTATGAAATAGAAAATAAAGCTTTTTGCGATTGATTTTAACATGAATATACATTTAAAAACTAAATTATTCAAAAGATTTTTTCATATAGAGCTGTCTAAGTCGAATATCTGGACATTTTGAACATTAAAGATCGTCCTAGTCAACCCTGGCTCTATTTTATAATCAGATCAATCGCAAGTCAATAATTCCTAATTGAGAAAAACATTCAACTAATAATGTATGGCTACCAAATTATAATGTTCTGGTAAAGGGCCTCAAGTCAATGTTTACAGCGCCCCTCTTTTTTTGATACAGACCAACCCAGCCCGGACGCCGGACACGGAGAAAAGCGGCCTGAAAACCAAACTATTTAACGCACTGGGAATTAATTCGCCAATTAGCAAACCCAACTCGTAGGCGCTGTTGCCAAAACGAAACTAGCACTTGCCACATTTTGTATTTGAAATCTCTTATTAGTTTTGTTTCAAGAGCTAATTTGGTCTAAGTGTGAGAGACATTGAACGGATTTTTGTGCAAAAAATTTGTTTAATGTCTTCTTGAGAGGTTCGGTTGTCGTTGAGGAGACAGTGAACATTTTCAGTCAGTGAGCTTTGTTCCAGAGTGTACAAAAATGCGGAAAACCTTAAATTTGTGCGTAAAATTTGAAATTCTTATACTGAGTGGTTTTGAAACCATGTAGGAACAGACCTAATGTTTAGAAGTGTGGACTGTATATCCTGTTCACAATCCGATGTCTACAGGTGCAGGTAAATTTATCACCTTTCCCTATCAAATAGCATTGAAAGGTGATTTTACCTGTACCTACCTGTGGTAACCTTGTCCAGCAAATTGGTGTTCTTAAACCTCAGCCTTGAACATTATTTGCTAACTGACTGAAATCTTCACTAGCTCTCCAACTGTATTAAATTGTTGCAGGAATAATTAAGGCACAATTACGTAATTAGATATAAGGGTATAGAAACGACAAATTCTTGCAATAAAATTGCTACCTTTAGAAAACTCCTATAGAGAATCGAATAATATTGACCTGAAAATGTATGATTAAAATTAGTAGGATTTAAACATTATTTTTACTAGCTTGTTTTTGATCTGATTGGAAAAATAAGGAATTGATATTTTATAGATTTGACACTAGATGAGTTTTTTTGCAATCATTTCAAAAATTTTTAGCATAATAAGGCCTAACTAGCCGATGTTGGATTATACACCAAATAATCCTATATCCGTTAGAAATCGAGGGGTTTATGCATTTTAACAAATTACTTGTCAATTAATACAAATTTAATTTATCCAGGCCTAAATATAAGATGCGCTCTAACGCTTGTTTTAACTCCGATGCATAAACCTTTATTGAACAAAAAACGTTTGCTGGTGATTTTTTGTGATAAATATTGTAAAATGACCACGTGTAATAATGGCTTTTGCTTATTGAAGCTACACTTTCGACAAAAGATCCTGGTCCCAAATTTCTTTTAAAAACATTCCATCTTCCCATAAGGACTTCCATGTGGATTGTGACCTTTGTGTAATTCTTGTTTTAGATACATTTTTTTGCAGCAAATGTATTTAAAGGAATTGCACTAGTCAAGAAAATGTGCTAAAGTATAATATTTATTGAAACGAGTTGTGTATTTTAGAGTTTTAACTTTGGATTGGCTAAAAGATGATTTATTTAATTAACCAGAACATTCTTTCAGAAAATCAATTATGTATTTTTTTTTGTTTATAGTATTATTATTTATTATTTTATATAGAATCAAATTTTACACCCTTTATTATTAGATTTTATTTATACACGCAATGTAATTAAACCCAAATTTTGTTTGTTTTTATAGATTAATAATTACTATTTCTACTTAAGTTGTAGTGCAATTTTTTACATATACATATTGTTTTGTTGTTTTTAATCTGACACTTTCCGTATGAGGAGTATATGACAAAAACAGACCATTAGCGTTCTAATGTAAGGTGTCACCAGTTCACATTCCTTCAAAGTATCAGATTAAAATTGACATACTTTACATATTAATTTTATCTACCAAAAAAAAAAAAAAAACCTTAGTGATTTTTATGTACATTTTAAACAATTAATTATTGTATACTGCAGTTTGTCAGATTTTATTATAATAAATCAGTTTTATTGATTTTCTTTTTTGTTTGTTTTAATTTTCCTTTCAAGGCTGTGTTGCATGTGATGTTGCCGCAAAATAATTCCGAAAATTTATGGAGTTGATAATGTGTGTGTGGATTGCACCATTTCCCCTTTTTCACATCTTTTTTTTTGTTTTGCAATTATTTATTGGCTTGTATTAAGTAATCGTGAGTAAATATTTGAATTTTTTTATTGCAGCGTGAATAATCTGTCCGAAAAGTTTCTATTTGGGACAGAAGTATGTTTTGGATGCTTCAAATAATTCCATGCGTTTTTCTTTTCAGATGAAAACATCTATGAAGCGATTTCCGTGAAATCGCCCTACTTGTATTTCTAGCGATTATTATATTTAAGTTCGGTTCAGAGCAAATCCATAATTTTTCGGAACTGGCAATAAATCAATCGAAAATCGTCAAAAATAAACACAATAGCATTAATAATCAATTATAAATTATTATTTTGTAGTTCGACCACCTATTGGAAACTTATTATGTATTCACTCTTTTCAGCACACCACAAGAAATGGAGAATAAGTTTGGTGGAAAGTAGTCTGGAATTGTCTTTTAGTTTCATTGCTTAGTGGTCTTATAACAATTGTGTTACTATATCATACTAATAATAATTGTAATGTGCAATCTTAAATCATTCCAAATTTAATATTTATGTATTTTACTCCATGCATTAGGTGGCTTTTTCTGCAAAATAGGGACACGTTTTGAATGCATAAACATAAACCTGTTCAAATATTAAGTCTTTGGCTTAGCAATTCTTTTCTTAATACTTTCGTAGAATCTTCTGTCACTTGTTCCGATTTCAGTTTAAGGTGTTTTCTACACATTAGGAAAAAACAGTTTAGTTCACCCTGCATTCCAAGTACATTCGTTGATTGGACTGAATTTATAGTCGCTCTTGGAGGTTTCCTCAAACCTCCTCCTTGAACATTTAAAATTGGCATGAATTATTTGTCAAATAGTAGCAACAATGTAGCTATAGCTTTCACATGGGGGGGGGGGGTGGGTTTAGAGCAGTAATGGCTGCTCATGGTCTATGCTGGAAAGGGTTTCAATTTTAGACCAGACGAGGGATAGGCGACCGGGCGTAGCATAGTGTTTCGAGTACAGGCAAAATGTACTCGGCTACCGGGTACAAGTACTTAGCGTAGAATGTTCTTGAGTACAGAGTACAATTACAAGTATTCAATACCCAAGTATTCAAAGTACCGTGTACATTTATGAATATATTCTAATACCACCTTGCATTCCTACCCAATGATGTCATAGGTACAAGTTATTACGCAACGTCCTCTTTTAAACAGCCTGGATTTATCATGGAAATCTAATGAATCCTCATAGGCTGCAAGCGCTGAGGTAGCTGCAAACTTGGCATTGCACATGGGTTATGACGTCACCTCCCCTTTCACACTTCCGTCACATTTCCCGAAATTTACCATCAAACCGCCGGTATAGATGTTCACACATCAAAAATTAAAAAACACATTTTGGTTTACTAAATGAATTCAGCAATTTTGAAGTTTGATTTGGTTATCCAGAGTCCAGAGTTCATAAGGACTCGGTTATAACTGCTCAAATTATAATGTATAATTATATATTCTGAATCAGAATTAAATTATCTTTGAGATAGAATAAGATTCAATTCTCTATCTTAAATACTCCCGGAGATATTAAGGCTCAAAGTCAAAACTTTGTTTCAAATTTCACAAAAGATTCAAAGCTGATTTTCTCAAAAACGGAGCCCTTGGTTTCAGAGTTTCAAATAACCTTTTTTATAGCCCTTCTGAAGAGCTACAATTGAGCTAAAGATTTATGCCGATAGCTTCACTAGTTTCCAAAATATGGCTCTTTGAAATATTTGAAATCAAATTCGCATGCATACCCCTTTGAAAAAATTTGAATTTTTAAATTTTTGGATTTTGCAATTTTTGACTTTACGAATCGAAAAAGGAGGTGAAACTTAGTGGAAAAGCATTAACGCAAGTTTGTTTTTTGTGTTTTAGAGCTTGAAAAAAATAAAAACGATTTTTGCAATTTTTGAGCTCAGAAAATTTCAATAATTTGACATTGTCTCACAAAATCGCTCATTACTCGGTTATTATTGCAACAAATATGATGTGAAATTATATATTCTGAATCAGAATTAAATTATCTTTAAGATACAATAAGATTCAATTCTCTATCTTGAACACTCCTGGAGATATCGAGGCTCAAAATCAAAACTTTGTCTTAAGTTTCACAAAAGATTCAAAGCTGTTTTTCTCGAAAATGAAGCCCTTGGGTTCGGAGTCTCAAATAACCTCTCTTTATTGAGTTAAAATTCAGTGAAAATTTCAGCTTTCTATCTATAATAGAAAAAAAGTTATGACCTTTCAAAGTTTTCCAAAAGCTAAATCATGATGTACTTTATGGGTTTGCAATTGGGTTGCTTATGACCGTGTTTGGGTTAGTTGCTTCAAGGTAGCTTTTGATAATTATTGTAAAAGGAAATCAGAATTTCCAAATTTATGGCCACAGACACAATGTCACAGTGCACAGAAAAGTTCAAAATTTTCGTTTGCAAATCACAAAAGAGGAAAGCATGCTAAGCATCTGATGCTGAACAAGAAATGGCTGAAAATTGGTCATATCGTAACCGTAACATAATAGGTCTGTTCCAACACAGCAGGAAACCGTACAATTTATCGTCATGATTCTGCGCAAACTGTAAAATTTGCGCGTAGAAACCGAAATTCGTTCACTGAGTGGTTCCGAAATCGTTCATGGGACGGTTTGTGACGTATTGGAACAGACCTAATGTCAGATCTCAACTTGTCTGGAAATGTACTTGTGGTCAAATAAATATATATTTAGTTAGAGTCCAATAATTTTACTCACCAACTGCAAATGTATTCGAAAACAATGAAAATACCCGGGTATAACAAATGTATTTAAGTATAAAAACGCACGGGTATTTTGAAAATTACTCAGTACAATAAAAAGTACCGGGTACCTATTTTCTATATTCTTAAGCAGTCCAAGTACGTGATTCAGAAAGTATCTTGGCCTGAGTACCGAGTAACTAAAAATATACTAAGAGTACAAGTGAAGAGTACTCGTACCGGACCCGAGTACCGCCCAGCTCTGAAACCCATCAGGATTTTTTTTTCGGGTGCCTCGCCCAAAAACGTTTATTTTTCTTCAATAAAAATAATTTATTCAGTTCAATAGGGGGGGTTCGAACTCCCAAACCCCCCCCCTTATATATGTCCTTGAATAGTAGCAAGTGACCATTATAAACTCACCAAGGAATATTCAAGGAACGACTATAAATTCCACCAATATTTTGCTGTTTGGAATTCTTCTATATTCAATTTTGACTTGAATCGTTATTCCTGTGCAATTCTAGCCACCTTTGATTATTATGTTATTTATTCTTGAACTTTGTAACGAATTTTTACTCTATATTGTTGGATTTGGATGAATTTTTTCCAACTTTGGACAAAAAAACACAAGTAGTGTGTTTCGATTGATGTTACTGCATAGTTAAATGAAAATCTAGCTTAGTAAAAAAATTATTATTATGAAGGAACAATTTTTTTCTGAACTTGTTATACTTACTTTACATTAGAAAATACCTAATTCCTGGAGTAAATAGCAAATATTAAATTAAACTATTTATTATTATTTGTCTATAATTGACCAAACTCAACTATACGTTATCTAATGGACTGAGTAAAGGAGCTTTTTTTTGGCTTAAGAATGTCGTTAAACTATTTTTGTTAATAAAGCTAATTGTATGTATTGGGGATGGCTTCGATAATAATTAATTGTGTTCGCTGTTGCTGGTAAACTAATAAATAAAAAGATTTACTATAAAAATGTGTTTGTTTCTATTCAACTAAACAAATTTCAGAACAATGAGATCTAACAGTGTTGATTACAGTCTTAATATAATCTGGTGTATTGCAGTCTTTTTTTCTGCCTTCTTCTATGTGTAACTCGTAGCTTGGCGCGTAATCGCAAAAATACTAAAATTTTCGCATTTCAGCTAAATATTTTTGGATAAAAACAAAATACTTACTTTAGTGTCTCCAGGAATATCGTTATCCAATTCTTCTCCAATGATAAGGGATGTAAGGTGAGTCCATAAACGAGCTGTATTTGGGAAATTATATCCACCTGAAATCAGTATTGATTAAATTTAAGGCCCATTTACACTTATCCAATAGTTGGAGTCAGTCTCAGCATTTGATTGATATGAAAAAGTGTACTCACAATGCCAGAACTAGCCAGCTACTGGATATGTGTAAATTGGCCTTTATTCTGAAAGTGCATATGGCTGAGCATATTTAATTTGTATTGATTTCCAAATTCCACAATATCCTTTATAGATTAATTAAGTATTCTAGTGTAAGGATGAAAATATAACCTGCAGATTAAGGTAAGTATAGGTTCATAATTGAAATTACCACACTTCACGACTATCAGAACACTTTACAAGTTTAGCTTTTGATAAGCTTCCTAGATGTTGGTGTATTCTAAATCAATGTCAATAATATGTATGATATTTTTGGTACCTCTGTTCAATTGTACCAAAAGTCGATGGATTGGGAGTCATGGCTACGCCCAGATCTTCCTGACAGTCTTGTTCATCTTCCTGATTACACATTGATTCGGTTAGACAGGCATAACCAAACAGGAGAAGGTATCTGCATTTTTGTCAACATACATACATATTTCGGTGGAAAGTTTTCACATTATTATCTCAAAAATTGGTTGACCTCGGCGCTTCGCACCTCGGATCTCTCGACAATAATGAAACACTTTCCACCTCCGCATGTAATATACTATTACTCCTATATAAAACATTCCCTAAACTCCCGTCTCCAAAACTTTGCGTTCAGAAACACTAACACGAATCAGACTACTTAAGGTCAGACTGAAATTGCCAATTGCTTTGCAGACCTGTTCCAGAGTCTTCACTCAAGAAGATAATAACCTACCAACTCTTCCACCTAAACTACGCATCGCTGCAGAGATAAGTAATATAGAATTCACCCCAGAAAAAGTACAAATGGCCATTTCTTCTCTATAGGCGAAGTCTAGTCCTGGTCCTGATGCAATTCCATCCCTCTTTCTGAAAAACTGCGCCAAATCGCTGTCCAGTCCTATAGCCACTATTCTAAACTCTATAATGAAATGAGAGGAGCTCCTATTCCAGAAATATGAAAATCCTCAATAGTTGTACCAATCTTTAAAAAGGGGGACAAACTGGAACCATCAATAATTCGCAACAGCGTACTCTGCAAATGTATGGAGAAAATCCTAGTGAATGAGCTAACATCTTTTTCACTAGAACAGCAAGTAATATCTGATTCTCAGCAACATTTACCAACCTGCTGGAAAGATTCAACAAATGGACTCAAAATACACCATTTGACATTGACTACATAGATTTTGAAAAAGCTTTTGATAAGGTACCTTTCAGGAGAACCCTACTAAAATCGGAGCATAATGGAATAGGGGGCAATGTGCATAGAGTTATCAGCGAACTTATCCAAGGAAGGACCTTACAAGTAAAAATAGGCAATGTTTTTTCCAGCAACTTTGCTGTTTATATTATACATAAGCGACCTTCCTGCAGATCTCGCGTGTGACCTCATCCTTTGCAGACGACACAAATTCTATGTGCAAAGCAAGTCACCAATACCTACAAATGCAGAGCGATCTTGATAAAATTAAACAATGCAGATGCCATTAAACGAATCCAAGTGCACTGTTCTTCACTTAGGAAGAACTAAATCCCAATCATAGGTACACTGATATGACTCCAGTCGAAAAACAGAAAGATCTAGGCTTAATAGTCACAAAAGACCTCGAATGGGAGTGTCACATCTCAACAACTGTCAAAAAAGTGAACACCGTGATTTACCTTATAAGAAAGCCGTTTAACAACGTATCTAGTGATATGATACTTAAGCTTTACAAGACATACATAAGACCAAAACTAGAATATATGCAAAGTATATCCAGTCCTTATTATGTCAAAGATATGGATCTTCTATAAAAAGTTCAGAGAATGGTAACTAAAATCCCTTCAAAGCTCAACGATCTCTCATATCAAGAACGTTTACAGCGCCTTAATCTTACAACCCTCTACCAAAGAAGACAGTGTGGAGATTTGATTGAGACTTATAAAATAACTAGTGGTCATTACAAGTGCAATATCATTAACACCTTCATTCTTGCCGATAATACGCACCTGAGAGGGCATAACTAGAAATTAAACAAAGAAAAATGTTCCAAATTGTTAAGACGCAATTTCTTAACAAAGGGTTGTTGTGTATTCATGGAATAACCTGAGTCAAGACACAGTAAATGCCACTAGTGTTAACTGCTTTAAAAATCGTGTAGACAGAAATATAAGTGAAAACAATAACCAGTTTGTCCACTATCCCTAGTAAACTAGTGACAAAATAATACCATATCTGAGATACAATGGATTTATGGTATTTTCAAATTTTTTGTTGGAAATTATTATCAGATATTGTTAGCATAAGTCTGTATAGTGAACTATCACCATATTTTTTTATAGGAAATCATACCTCCTCCTAAAAACAATCTAGGTAGATCGCAGGCCAATATAGCTTGGATGCAACCATCAAATCCTTTCAAAGTCAAATTACATTGTCCAACGGGATCTCCATTCAAACCATCAGCACCGCACTGAACTACAACAGCTTGTGGTTTATAACTTTCACAAACCCTTAAAAAAAAATAGTTCAGTAAATAAATCAAGCAAGACACATTTAAGTTACATTGGAAAAACTTCTTCAAATACTTTTGTAAATGTTTTATCACCGACACCGTCCATTAGAGGAATATTTATGGAATAATATTGACCTCGCCCTTTTCCAATATCCTTTAAACCACCAGTATTAGGAAAAAAGCCCGCACAGTGTTTATGAAATGATAGCGTTAAAATTTTATTACTGTATTCAAAGGCATTTTGAACTCCATCACCTGCAAACATGAAAATTAACTACATATATACCAAATAATTCTATATGTATTAAATACCGTGATGAATATCCAAATCAACATACAGTATACGACTGAAAGTTTTCGACATAAATTGTATAGCAATAACGATATCGTTTATATAGCAAAATCCAGAAGCCGAGTCTCTTTGGGCATGATGCCAGCCTCCAAACCAATTTATAACTGTCCTGCATTTTTCTGCAGCCAATAGTCTAGCTGCCGATAAAGAACCTCCGGCGATGCAAGTTGCGAAATCGTAAATGTTGCTGAATATGGGACAGTCGTATGCCAATCCATATTCTAAATGTTTTTCTAAAGAAAATATGAATTAATAATCCAGATGTTTCTATTCACGATAAGCTATACAATAAAACTAAAACATGAAAAAGGCAAAATCTATATAATGTAGATAGTATGTATGAACATGAACCAAAACTCTCTGAAACTCAATAAGGACTATTATAGCTATGTATAATGGGGAATCCCAAATCAATTTTGTAATTTGTTCAGTTAGGACTGATGAAAATGGTTATACCTTCAATGTTGTCAAGACTGGAATCAAAATAGTTTAAAGATTTGAGTAAATCTACATAGTCGGTTGAATGAAATGATTTCAATGCTTCTTGAGATGCGTCTGAGCTTTCAACTACGCTAACATTCGGATGGGATAGGAGTTTGTAGTTCATGATCAAGTCTTGTACCAGGGATGCCTATTGAAGAATAGAAGCAAATTAATATTAAAGTATGTAATGCAAAAATATGAATACTACAATATATGTATAAAATAAACAAAGAAAAATACCCTGTTTTCCATAGAAGGTAATTTATTACAATGTTCTATTAGCTCCTTTTTATAAATATAAACCACTTTACCACTTAACATATTAAAAATTCAAAGGCCTGGTTGAATATTATTTTGATTCAAAATTCTTTAATAGGTTTTAAAATTTAAAAATCCCTTGTTACTTGTTGGTAAACAGAAAAGATAGGTTATAAATAGACTAGACATTTGAAGAATTTTTGGCGCGAAGGTGTTGTTCCTAAAAATTAATAAAACTAAGATATTTTTCTACCTGAAATTTCTCAGTTTATTTGACTTTTTATCAATAATCTATAGGAATATTTTTATTTATTTATTTTCATATACAGGGTGTTTCAGATTCGAGCCACATCATTGGGATCTCGGAAACGGTAAGATATACAGGGTTGGTCAAATGGGGGCAAAGTTGCGTAATTTGATGCTTAACAAAATTCTGCTTTGATATTTAGTATATTCCGAATACTTCCGGAGATATCCGAAAAAAACCAAAATTTTGCAAAATTGTTTTATTTTTTCCTGACTTTATTTGAAGTGATATTCCAAAATAAATGTCACTTTGTCATTGCCACTTTATCTCCCCTATAATATGCTACCATCACATTTGAAATCTGACGTTTCGTCTTTGGGCCACCATCATCAACTTCATTTTTTTGAATACGGACCCTCTTTTTTTATTTTAAATTTCATAAGCTTCTGATCTGATGTTCCAAAACCAATAACGTATTGCACTTATTCAAAAAATTTATATTATTGGTACTTTCCATAAGAACCAAATGTGTTAGAGAGAGACAGAGGAGATAATTTTGGTAGGAAATTACCGTAAAATGGGGTTACTTGGGACAAATTTAATTCCATTTTTTCAATAATGTGGTAATTTATCAGAGTTTTTAGGAAGGCAGAGCAACAATTCCTGTGTATAAAATTTCTTTCATATGCATTTAACCTATAAAGCACCATAAATGGCTCCTACTGTAAGAACATTTTGTAGAAAAAAATAAAATATTCACTGTCCCAAGTTACCCCGCATTGGGGTTAGATGGGACTGTACCGGTTTTACACCGAAAATGCATGTTAAACTACTCAGGGGTTACTTGGGACAGCAGAAAAATAAAAATAATACCCCAGCACACATCTTGAGTTGAAATTTTTTGTTCAGCGAATTATTTAGAGCGATGAAAAATCTGGGTTAACATCAATTTATTAAAAATATTTATTTATTCATTATAAAAATATGCAAAATATATGCAAAAATACTTAAATTAAAAATAATGGTGGGTGTCAATCAGGACCAGGAAAATTATCTTTAAATCATCTTTCTACAACACCCTTAAATCTAGATATTCAGTCCTATGATGTATCATTTTCTGTTATTTTAACAGCAACCTTAAGTTATCTGTCACTGTTTATTCTACACGTAAAAATAGAGACAGGTATAGATTTTGAGCTATAACACAACTGTTAAAATAACAGGAGAGGATACATCATAGGCCTGATTGCTTCACAATGCGTCTTATTTCAAAGTGAGTTAAAGGAAATCCCCATTCAGCTGCTCTAATAAGTTCATCTTCTTCCGCTTTTTCCAGAACTGTAGGTCTTCCATATCTTCCTAAATTATGATTTTTACATCTTCTCTGTAAAGTTGATTTGTTTACCTTCCATTTGTCGGCTGCTGTTTTATAGGACTTTCCAGATTGTACGTCTTCTATGGCACTTTTCATATTGTTTCCTTCGAAGGCGTGATATTTATTAGAACCTACTTTGCGAATATATTTTCTTGGCATGTTGACCCCTGAAAACAAAACGGATTAAATAACATGGGGTAACTTGGGACACGGCCTAACTTGGGACAATGGTTGTCCCAAGTTACCCAAAATCAGGAATTTTTTTGAAAAAATATTTCAAAATCTAAAAAAAATTGTCTAAAAGCGGGCAACGACATTGGCAGTATTTATAAAACATACAAAATTAACTAAAAAGTGTAATTGGACTTACCTGTTTACCTTTTGACTCCCTCTTCCAGATAAAGTTTTCGACCATTTATTTTTGCTTTGCTTCTCACCACCACTTATGTTTTTTTTTATACTTTTGAAATATCATTAATTTATAAAGAATTCATTAATTTAATCATCAACAGGTTGCTCTTCAACTAACCAAAACATTAAACTGAAGATATGTTTATATTTGCGTTGTTGACGCTAGTAAAATTAGAACATCCGAAGTTGCGTCCCGAGTAACCCCGACGTCCCAAATAACCCCATTTTACGGTACTAAAAAGTAGATAAAATATTTTTTCGAATAAATGCGATACGTCATAGGTTTTGGGTTTTGGGACTTCAGAAGCACTGAAAATCTGAAATAAAAAATCCAGGATCGTATTTGAAAAAATAGAGTTGGATGATGGTGGCCCTAAGACGAAACGTCAGATTTTAAATTTGATGGTAGCATCTTGTAGGGGAGAAAAAGTGGCAATGATGAAGTGACATTTATTTTGGAATATCACTTCAAATAAAGTCAGGAATAGTATATTACATACCGAGGTGGAAAGTGTTTCATTACTGTCGAGAGATTTAAGTTAGACCGAGGCGCAGCCGAGGTCTAACTGAAATCTCGAGACAGTAATGAAACTTTTCACCGAGGTATGTATACTATTTTATTTACAATCATTCGAATTTTGAAATTTTCATTTGGATTAAAACTAAAAAATACAATAATTAACAATTTCATTTACTTTCGGCCCACGGGTCGAAAGTTTACTTTCGACCCGTGGGCCGAAAGTAAAAGTCAAAAAATACAATAAATTCTAAAAATTTCATTCACTTTCGACCCACGGGTCGAAAGTAAACTTTCGACCCGTGGGCCGAAAGTAAAAGTCAAAAAAGTGACATTTTCGAACTTTTTAAAAGTCAGTAAAGTCAATATTACATGTATGATTGTAAATAAAAAATAAAAACAATTCTGCAAAATTTCGATTTTTTCCGGATATCCCCGGGAGTATTCGGAATATACCAAATATCAATCATCTATTCATCTGTTGTTTAATTACGATACTAACCTGACTCACTCGAATGTGAGTATTCTCATTAGTTTGAAAACTATACGTTTCAGACAGTGGCGTAAATACGGGAGGGGGGTACTCGATATGTTACTACTCCTTTACCTTTACCTGCTCTAAGGTCAGAACTAATCTGTGGTCAGAACAGGTCAGAACCATAGATTGACACAATTTTGACATTAACGGCTTGTTAAAAAAGTCGAATTCATACAAGGTGGAGGTGCGTCCAAAAAGTGCCAATATTCCAATGTCCGCAACTGTATGTTAGGACACAATAGGGTTGCCAGATATTTGAGTTTTGAAAATAGGAGAGCCTGTATAAAATTATATGAGATTAGATAATAATATATGAGAATATTTTATCTATTGCAAAATACCCATATCCGAGAAAGCTCCCATCTTGACAATTTGCTATGACTTCTAGCAGATCTTGGATTGTATTGCTGGACATTCTTTTAGGTAGTTAAAGACTCCTCCTGATCCGATCTGTCAGTCTCACTTCTTGTAACAAGTTGTGGACAACAACACAACAACTTAAGTTTTTTGAGGTTTAAACAAATTCCTGATCCAAAATCGTTTTGTTTTTTTTTCTGTTTTTACTTTTTTAACAGTAAAATATTTGAATTTGAAGATCCATTATCAACCATAGTTTAAGCTTAAAACGCAAATTAGGAATTGGTTTATTGTTTTGTTTACATTTTACTGTTCACCATCAGTGAGTCAAAAAGTAAGGTAAAAAATGATCCAAAAACGGAAGAAGTTAAAATTATTTCATTTTAAGTTAAGTAGGAGAAAAGTTAAAAAATATTCGGATAAAATGTGTCGGGAAAAACAGCCAATAGGTGCTCCCTCGTACAATCGGACGGTCGGAAAACGAACAAATGAGACTAATGAACGCTCCGGCCTATCATGTATATGGTAGTGATAAAGTGATATACATGGTTTCTTTTTTGTTTTTTTGATGAAAATATATGAGAAATAGTCTCATATCAAACATGCTAATATGAGATATGAGAAAAAGTTCAAATATATGAGTCTCATATTAAAAATAGGAGGTCTGGCAACCCTAGGACATAATGACAATTACAAGGTACAAGTGACAGATACAGAATACTAATTACAGAATACCAAAAAATCGAAATTTTGTATCGTGTATCCATTTTTTCTAGGTTATAGCATTGCATTGATACACGTGTTATTATATTTTTGTCTCTTGTCATTTGTACCTTGTATTTGTCATTGTGTCTTCAGTTTTGTGATACAATGTCAAAAGCAGGTTGAATGGTTTGGCATCGTTATCTATTAATAAAGAGTTTGTACCTTCAGCTCAAGATGTTATGGACCACTTAGCTAAAAAGCCAAGAAGACTGGAATTTATTCTTTAGTTTCAGAGCCCTGGAATTAAAAAATAAATTCCCAATATAACGGATATGAACTTTTATATTTAAATTTAAAAGTTCGTGAATAATGGGAATTCTGAAAAATAATGTATTTTTAATAAGTTAGTCTCGGTTGGTCAAATTGCCGCCATTTTATTCCTTTTTATCCTGTCTTTGGCGAATTTGCCTGCACCGCTGAACCTGGACCCCCTCCAGGGTGAAAAGCTATCTACGTCAGTAGTTTCAGGTGAATGTCTTATTTGAACAATTCAACAGTATATTGGTAAGTAGACGGCTGCGGAACTCGCTACGCTCGTCCCGCAGAGGTCCACCCATAAGTTCCGCAACAATCCACTTATATTTGAACAATAACTTATTATATAAAATCAAAATTTGTAAGATTATGATTATTCACTTTTTGTCAATTCGCCTTTCAACAGGAATTAGTAATGTTATCTACTTTACCAAACTAGTAATATATTGGGACAAGTTATTCAAGTACAAACGAATGAATTGTTGCGGAATTTATGGGAGGACGCAGCCATCTATTTACCAATATGTTGTTCAAGTACAAGTACAATACTAACCTGATTCACTCAGTTATCAATTTTTCTCATTAGTTCAAAAACTAC